CTCCCAATTAAAAGTGATCTCCCTCTCTCTCTGTTTCTCTCTATCTTTTAGATTCTTTTGTGCTATTTATCTGAATATGTAACCAGGGCAAACCACTGTACTGCGGAATTAGCAAATGTCTGGTACCTCAAGGTTGAAGACAGCATTTTTCTCACTCATTTCAACTTGATGTTCAGCAGCTCGCAATACAATTTCTCTGCAGCATTTGCCATTGAAGAGTCTTCCACTTTGTTCCACCACTGGTTGTGCCAATGATATCCAAAGGTCGAATGATTCCTGCTCCTGGGGTCAATATAGTTCCGTCTTCGGATCAACGATTCCAGCGAAGTGGAGTTGAAGAACTGCCTGCCCCGAGGTATCTCCTCGTCCGCGGCACGAGCACCTTTATTGGAGACGCCCTCAAAGAAGCACCCGGGCAGGACCTGAAAAGTGGAATTGGCCACCGAGTGCTGAATTTCGTGTACCATGGTGTCCAGACTGTGCGGTCCATAGGCGGCCCAGGTCATGTTCACCCCCAGCTGAAAGATATATCCCAACCAGGCCGTGGTGAACTTTGACTGAGGTTTGGAGGACGACAATGCGCATGGGTTAGGCCCAAATCTTTTGATGTAGGCCGCCCAATCCTCGAGGGTTTTGGACCACAAGTACAATATATGGATATCAACCCGCACAAATAGTAGTTGAAGACGGAACCAATGATAGATACACCATCAATCACAATCAACTTTACTTTGAAATTTTATACGCACTGCTAGTGACTACTAGTGCACAATAATGATGATGTGAAAAAACTGCACAGTATTTTTGAACGTGCAGGTTTTATACTACAGATGCAAATATTCAGTGCGCGCGTATACATATATTTGATTAACAATCAACCATTACAAATACATTCCGACATACATAGCGTAACATCAGCGGGAACACAGACACACACACACAGACACACACACACATATATATATATATGTGTGTGCATGTATATGCTCAGAGTCCCCCCAAAGACCCGCATTTTTGCACTTTGTCGTGTCTGTGCGTATTGTTCCGCTGTGAAAACAAAGGTGAACGCTTCAATTCAAAAAATATTTGCAGCATAGAAAAATTGTTCCTAAATATGTCTATGTTTGCGCAATTTGTTTCTAACAACGGCAGGTATCTACTGTAGCTCACTAATGCGCACGCGCTCGTATTTTCAATATCTTTACAAATACTCAAAGCATTTCAAAGCTATATGTATGGCGCAACATCGTCCTATAGTCAGGGCCCCCATCCTATATTCATATTTGCGGATCATGCATGGGTGGGACGCTGGCCATATACATACAAAGACAAAACATATAAACAAACCATGAAATAGCAAAACATAACAGACACAATACAACAAACATGACACAACACAACATAACATGAAACAACAAAACATACCACAACATTGCATTCCATTTACATATGCCTACATATAATTCTACATGTTTAAAATATATATATATATATAATTATATATATATATATACAGGTACCGAGGGCAGTTTAGAAGTCAAACTTCCGACATATGGACAGGTGCAGCAACTGGTGGGATGAGATATCAAAATTCGCACGCAGCGGCGCGAAGCACATTTCGAAGTCAAAATGCTAAAAGCACCTATTCTGGGAGCACTTTTTAGCAGTTGAGCGGTCAAAACATGCACACGTGTGTGGCGCAAAACACATGTCCAAGTAAGAATGGCAAAAGCACCAGGTGTTTGGACGGTTCATTCCCATCTTTCCGGCACAACGACCATGGATTTTGCACCTTCGCAGAAGTGAGCCAAGACGCGCTGGTTTTGTAGTAGTTTCAAAAAGGATGGCAAACGTGGGGCATCTGAAGAAAATCTGAAAAGATGCATTTCGCGTGGCAAGCGCAATGCAAGAGACATCTCTACCAGACATGCAGACATGTTCAGAGTCAGGGCGTGGATTGCTGAGAAGGGTTGCATTTTGGAGCATGAGATTGTCAGGTTCGCTAAGATTATTTTGCGAGACAGGTGCGTGCAGCACTTCCTATATTGCCTGGCCTCCCTTTTTCGTGGCAGGCGCAACACTTTAGAGAGATGGGATAGAGAAATAGCAAACCACATTGAGTCGGCACGAAGCCGTCAGCTCTGCATTCACTTTTCATTTCTGAAGGACATGCCGCAGAATTTCTTAGTTTTCAATGATGTCAGCGTCGAATGTTTGAGGAAGTCTCGTCGTTTTTGGAGCTGTGACCTTCCATTTTTTGAGGAGTTCTCGCAGAAGTGCTTCCATTTGGACCTGTCAACTTCCACCTTTGAAGAGAGTCTCGCATAACTGCGTCTTGTCAGATAGAAAGATACATAGATTGATGGATAGAGATAGAGATAGAGATAGTATAGTGATAGAGATAGAGATAGAGAAAGAGATGGAGATAGAGAAAGAGATGGAGATAGAGATAGACAAAGAAAAGCAGAGAAAAGCAGAGAGAGATAGAGAGAGAGAGAGATTGAGATGGATAGAGATAGATAGAGATAGATACCTGCAGAGATAGATAGATAGGTAGATAGATAGAAAGATGGATGGATGGATGGATGGGCACCCGCATCACTTAGGGCAACACCAAGCGCCGATGGATGGACAGGTAGAAAGAAAGAAGGATAAAAATACAGAAAGAAAGACCAAAAGAAAGAAAAAACAAAAAAGAAAGAAAGAACAAAAGAAAGATAGTTCAATAGGTAGATAGATAGATAAATAGATAGATAAATAGATAGATAGATCGATCGATAGATAGATAGATAGATAGTTGGATCGATAGATAGATCGATAGATAGACACGTAGACAGACAGACAGACAGACAGACAGATAGATAGACAGACAGATAGATAGACCGACAGAAAGATAGATAGATAGATAGATAGATAGACAGATAGATAGATAGATAGATAGATCAGGAAAATGGGAGGTAGAGAGAAAGGGAGAAAGTAAGAGAGACGCAGAGGGGAGGAGACAGAGAGAAGGAGACAAAAAGAAGGAGACAGAGAAAAGGAAACAAAAACAGAGACAGAGAAAAGGAGACAAAGAGAGCGACAGAGAGACAGAGAGACAGAGAGAGAGAGAGAGAGAGACAGACAGACAGACAGACAGACAGACGGACAGACGGACAGACGGACAGACGGACAGACGGACAGACGGACAGACGGACAGACGGACAGACGGACAGACGGACAGACGGACAGACGGACAGACGGACAGACTGACAGACTGACAGAGTGACAGACTGACAGACTGACAGACTGACAGACTGACAGACTGACAGACTGACAGACTGACAGACAGACAGACAGAGAGAGAGAGAGAGAGACAGACAGACAGACAGACAGAGAGAGAGAGAGAGCCTCAAGCACCTTTCGGTTGTCAGTGGGTTACCTCTGCCTCCATGCATCACAACAAGCCACCTCCCCTACAGTATAGGTTTTCTATATCTGCGCAACTTCCGCCACCGCCTTGTGCGGTAATACTGGTATACACAAGTGCATGATGAACCCAGTTAAGCCCCCACTCCTCTTCCAGGAGTGGTGATAGGCTTTGAACCAGCAACGTATCGCTATCCATCCAGGCGCCTCCATAGTTGTACAGCAGAAAAAGACGCATCAGATCAGATTGAGAATCCACAAGCTCTTGTGACTCATAAATTTTCACCAGTTCCTCAGTCAAGTTGGAAAAGCTCTGAGTATTGGACTCATAGTGGCTACATACCTTCTTGATCTCTGCAGCCGCATCAAATCTCTTGATTTCAATATACTTGCCGTACTGTTCCAAAAGTGGCGCAAAGATCTCTTGAATCAGGGGATGCGTCTGTTCCACATTGGCCCAAAAGTACAGCTTGACGTTCTGAAGGTCTTGAGAAGCCAAAAAGGACATGGGCAAAAGTCGAAGCTTTCGAGCGCTCTCGACCCATCCGTCGAAGTTGCCCGCTCCTTCTGGAAGAAGAATACCGGTGTGAATCACGCCCGGGTGCTTTAAGGTCGGACGAGTATTCCGAAACGCGTGCACCATCTGGAGGCACATAGTACCTTGGAGTGGAAAACCGGTGGGACCTGAACAAGATTCAAAAGGTAAGTTTGTTAATGTTTATGAAAATTTATTCAACTTGATTACAAATCTTGTAGATATGATGAAACGGGGGAAAGATTCTCAAAGAGAAAACTCAAGATGGCCTTCAACAGTCCAGGTCGCCTTTCAAGTTGCTAACTGTTAGTGGCTCCATCTTCGCATCCAACTTTGGTAAGAGGGCTGAAAATTCAGGCGAACTCAAGCTGATTGCATCAGCCTTTCCATGCGAGTCTCTCCCCCCTTCCAGGGCCCCAAGGGTGCCGAGAGGGAGCTGAAGCAAGTTGGAAGCTTCACAGGTGGCCCATGCCAAATGTAACAGCGAAGCAAGAGACAAACATAGCAAAGTCCTGGTCCCAAGGGTTGGGTCCATCTGGTGTAGTATGGTTCGGTAGTGTTCAGGAAAAGACCTTGAGCCAATAGGAGCCCAAATGAAGAACAAGTGAGGACAAGCGCCCAGTTATTGACAATGGATACTCATGTCTGCTTCTGTCTCAGTATACAGAGCTTTGGCGAAGTTCAAGAACTAAACCTGCCTTGACTGGCATGAAAGACTGGTGGGAACATGGGTCCCATTTTGCAACAGGTGAGTTGTTACTCCTGCTGATGGTGCAGAATTTCTGCATGGCTTCAATCATAGAAGCCGACCCCTACATCATGCGAAGGTCATCTTCCAATCACTAGCGTTTCTGCCCGCTGTTGGAATTTGCGCTCTTTTAGCGTGTGTCTAACCGTGGAGGGCCCCATTGAATGGTCCTGGTTTTTTGCACAACCAAGAGACACTGGCTCAGGCCGTCAAAAAGGCACAGGACTTCCCAATTAAACTGGATAACTGATTTTTTGAAAGTAATTATATGATATTATATGGTTTCATTGGTCGCCCTTCATCTCTTAAGAAATCTCTCTATAGAAATATATCTTTCACATTTTCTTAAGTTATGTTTCTATCCCTGTGAACAGGGCATATGATGGCACTGCGGTTTTGGCAAGTAATACTTCAAAATTTGAAACCTCGTCAGTTGTTTCCATCCCTTCTCGTCGCACACAACAGTCATGGCCTGGGTTGGGTGTGAAGACAGCAATTTTCTCACTCATTTCAATTTGATGTTCAGCAGCTCGCAATACAATTTCTCTGCAGCATCTGCCATTGAAGAGTCTTCCACTTTCTTCCCCCACTGGTTGTGCCAATGATATCCAAAGGTCGAATGATTCCTGCTCCTGGGGTCAATATAGTTCCGTCTTCGGATCATCAATTCCAGTGAAGTAGAGTTGAAGAACTGCGTGCGCTTGGGTATCTCCTCGTCCGCGGCTCGAGCACCTTTATTGGAGACGCCCTCAAAGAAGCATCCGGGCAGCACACGAAAAGTGGAATTGGCCACCGAGCGCTGAATTTCGCGTACCATGGCGTCCAGACTGAACGGTCCATAGGCGTACCGGGTCGTGTTCACCCCCAGCTGTAAGATGTGTCCCAACCAGGCTGTGATGAACTTTGACCGAGGTTTGGAGGAGGACAATGCATTATTGTTAGGCAAGAAATTCCTCATGTAGCCAACCCAATCCTGGCGGGTTTTTGGACCACAAGAAATTTTCCAGCACACTATATGGATGGTAACCCACAAAATGGTAGTTGAAGAAGGGACCCATGATAGATACACAATCCATCACAACTATTCAAGTATAGTAACCTTAAAACTTAAATTCGTTTCCAAAATGTAAATGCACATATGTTCACGCACAATGTGCATATGTATCTGTCTATATATATATATATACAGATATGCTAATGTAATTGCACATTATGAGTTACTATAGATGCAAAAAAAAAACAGAATATACACGCGCACACGTATACATACTTATTTAGTGTGAAATATTTAATGAAAAATACAATCACATAAATTTGATTCAAATTCCAGCAATACATACACGGAGACATACAACATAAAATCAACATAGGCAAACACACACACATATAACTTTAACAATAAACAAAACCAACATAAACTAACCATATATCAACATGACACCACAAAACATCACACAACATAACACAACATTACATACCACAACAAAACAAAAATCACATAGATTTCATGCCTTTCGGTTCCATGTGCAAATCCTACAAAGACAAACGCGCACACACACATATATATATATATATACTATGTTCAAAAACAAATATACATAGATGTAACATGAAGCATATCGAAATCAGTTTTCCGCCCACTCCTCCTCCAGGAGTGGGGATAGGCTTTGAACCAGCAACGTATCGCTATCTATCCAGGCGCCCCCGTAGTTGTACAGCAGAAAAAGACGCATCAGATCAGATTGAGAATCCACAAGCTCTTGTGACTCATAAATTTTCACCAGTTCCCCAGTCAAGTTGGAAAAGCTCTGAATATTGGCCTTATAGTGGCTACATACCTTCTTGATCTCTGCAGCCGCATCAAATCTCTTGATTTCAATATACTTGCCGTACTGTCCCAAGAGTGGTGCAAAGATCTCTTGAATCAGGGGATGCGTCTGTTCCACATTGGCCCAAAAGTACAGCTTGACGTTCTGAAGGTCTTGAGAAGCCAAAAAGGACATGGGCAAAAGTCGAAGCTTTCGAGCAGTCTCGACCCATCCGTCGAAGTTGTCCGCTCCTTCTGGCAGAAGAATACCGGTGTGAATCACGCCCGGGTGCTTTAAGGTCGGACGAGTATTCCGAAGCGCGCGCACCATCTGGAGGCACGGAGGACCTTGGAGTGGAAAATCAGTGGGACTTCAAACAGTATGATTCATGTATATGTTGTTATAATGTATTCAGATTGGTTACAACCTTGTAGATATGATGAAAACGGAGGAAAGATTTTCAATGAGAAAACTCAAGATGGCCTTCAACAGTCCAGGTCACCTTTCATTCTGAAAACTGTCAATGGCTCCATCTTCGCATCCAACTTTGGTAAGAGGACTGAAAATTCAGGCGAACTCAAGCTGATTGCATCAGCCTTTCCATGCGAGTCTCTCCCCCCTTCCAGGGCCCCAAGGGTGCCGAGAGGGAGCTGAAGCAAGTTGGAAGCTTCACAGGTGGCCCATGCCAAATGTAACAGCGAAGCAAGAGACAAACATAGCAAAGTCCTGGTCCCAAGGGTTGGGTCCATCTGGTGTAGTATGGTTCGGTAGTGTTCAGGAAAAGACCTTGAGCCAGTAGGAGCCAAAATGAAGAACAAGTGAGGACAAGCGCCCAGCTATTGACAATGGATACTCATGTCTGCTTCTGTCTCAGTATACAGAGCTTTGGCGAAGTTCAAGAACTAAACCTGCCTTGACTGGCATGAAAGACTGGTGGGAACATGGGTTCCATTTTGCAACAGGTGAGTTGTCACTCCTGCTGATGGTGCAGAATTTCTGCATGGCTTCAATCATAGAAGCCGACCCCTACATGATGCGAAGGTCATCTTCCAATCACTAGCGTCTCTACCCGCTGTTGGAATTTCCTCTCTCTCTTAGCGTGTGTCTAACTGTGGAGGGCCCCATTGAATGGTCCTGGTAATGTCGCCCAACCAAGAGACACTGGTTCATGCCGTCAAAACGGCACAGGACTTCCCAATTAAACTAGATAATTTTTGTTTTTGACAGCACATGGGCCACCATTCAGCTTTTGAAAGAAGGTGTGCGTATAAACCAGTAGTACCGTACAAGGGGAGGGTGGAAGTTTCAAAAATAGGAAACCTATAGGCGAGGATGGTTGTTCCGAATCGTGGTTGGCAGAGCAAACCCACTGGTGAATCAAAAGGTGGTTGGAGTGTAGGGCTATCTTTATTTCTATCTATCTGTCTAACTATCTATCTATCTATCTATCTATCTGTCTATCTATCTATCTATCCGTCTACCTGTCTACCTGTCGATCTATCAATCTATCGATCTAAAAATCTATCTACCTACCTATCTATCCATCTGTCTGTCTGTCTACCTGTCTATCTATCTATCTATCTATCTATCTATAAATCTATCTATCTAACTACCGATCTATCTACCTATCTATCTATTTTTCTTTCTTTCTTATCTTATCTTATCTTATCTATCTATTTCTCTCTATCTGTCTACCTGTCTACCTGTCCATCTATCCATCTATCTATCTATTCGCCTGTCTATCTGTCTGTCTATCTATCTGTCCATCTTTCTATTCCTCTAACTACCTACCTGCCTATCTATCTGTACATCTGTTTATCTCTCTATCTGTCTATCTATCTGTCTATCTAAACATCTCTCTGTCTATCTTTCTACCTGTCTAGCTGAAAGGTTGAAAAACGAAGCCATTCTGCGAGACTTCCTCATATTTTGACCTGGACAACATGGAAAGTGCAGCAATTCTGCGAGATTTCCTCAATGATTGAACTTGAACACCTCAAAAACGATGAAATTTTGATTGACTTCCTCAATTTTCAAAGTTGACAACATCAAAAACAAAGCAATTCTGGGAGACTTCCTTCGAAAAATGGAAAATTGAGTGCAAAGCTCACGGCCTCATACCAATAAGTTTTGCGATTTTTCCGCTCCATCTGTCTAAAGTACTCCGCTGCCACTAAAAAGTGAGGCCAGCTCATACGACTTAATGCACCTGTCATGCAAAATCACCTTAGCAAACCTGAAGATCTGATGCTCCAAAATGCAACCTCTCTCACGAAATCAGCGCGCGGACCTTCTAACATATCTGACTCATGTGTCTCTTGTACTGCCCCTGCCACGCAAGCAGATCCTCTTCACATCTCCTACGCCTGCCAATGCTTTTGACACTGCTACAAAACCCTCACGTTTTGACAACTTTGACTAGGCGCGCAATCCCTTGGGGCCTGCCACGCCAAACGACATCTGAACGTCCAAAAGTGGTCCGAACATGTGTTGTTTTTGACACTTCATCTCTCATCTACCCACATGGCTCCGCACCCGCCGCTTTAGCGAGCCTACCTTTCAACCCTCCGGAGCAACAAAACATTGGAAAAGGCACAGTGTTTCGCGACTTTTCTACCTTTTCGTGCACCTGCATCTTCTTTCTTCTGACTCTTTCTCTTCTCTGATCTTCTTTCTTCTTCTCTTCTCTTCTCTGACTCTTCCCACCTCTGCTTTTTCATGTGTCCATTATATTATCGGAAGTTTGACTTTTAAACTTCCTCCGATATATATACATATAACTAAACAAATAAATATATATCTAGTACTTATTTATATCTATACGTTTTAAATTATACCAATAGTGCACAAGGGCGGTGGAGGAAGTTTCAAACAATGGCAACCATAGGAGAGGTGAGTTGCTGTGATGCATGGATGGCAGGGCGAATTCACTGATGGACCGAAAGGTGGTTGGAGCTGTGCTTTTTGGAATGGTTGCAGCGTCACTTCCCCCACAACTGCTGAATATGGTGTGGTGTGGCCTGGTGTGGTGTACTTGTAGTTGTAGTGGTAGTTGTAGTTGTAGTTGTGGCGTGGTGTAGTCGTAGTTGTAGTTGTAGTGGTGGCGTGGTGTAGTGGTAGTTGTAATTGTAGTTGTAGTTATAGTTGTAGTTGTAGCCATATAGTGTAGACAAGGTTGTAGATAAAGTTGAAGTTTCAGTTGCGGTTGTACTTGTAGTTTGTGTTGAAGTTGAAGTTGTAGCTTTAGTTGTAGTGTGGTGGTAGTTGTAGTAGTTGTAGTTGCAGTTGTAGTGTAATTGAAGTTGTTGAAGTTGCAGTTGCAGTTGTAGTGTAGTGGAAGTTGAAGTTGACTTTGTAATCGTAGTTGCAGTTGTACTTGTAGTGTTAGTATGTGTTAGTTGCAGTCTAGTGGTAGTTGTAGTTGTAGCTGCAGTGTGGCATAGTTGTAGCTGTAGTTGTAGTTGTCTATCTATCTGTCTATCTATTTATCTATATTTATCTCTCTATCTGTCCATACATCTGCCTATCTATCCATCCATCTGTCTATGCATCTATCTGTCTATCTGAAATGGTTGAAAACGAAGCTATTCTGCGAGACTTCCATACTGTTCGAAATTGACAGCATCAAAAACGAATTAATTCTGCAAAACTTCCTCCATTTTTGCGCTTGACAACGTCAAAAACGAAGCAATTTTGCGAAACTCCCTCAATTTTCAAAGTTGACAACATCAAAAACAAAGCAATTCTGGGAGACTTCCTTCGAAAAATGGAAAGTTGAGTGCAAAGCTCATGGCCTCATACCAATAAGTTTTGCGATTTTTCCGCTCCATCTGTCTAAAGTACTCCGCTGCCACTAAAAAGTGAGGCCAGCTCATACGACTTAATGCACCTGTCATGCAAAATCACCTTAGCAAACCTGAAGATCTGATGCTCCAAAATGCAACCCCTCTCACGAAATCAGCGCGCGGACCTTCTAACATATCTGACTCATGTGTCTCTTGTACTGCGGCTGCCACGCAAGCAGATCCTCTTCACATCTCCTACGCCTGCCAAAGCTTTTGACACTGCTACAAAACCTTCACGTTTTGACAACTTTGACTAGGCGCACAATCCCTTGGGCCTGCCACGCCAAACGACATCTGAAGGTCCAAAAGTGGTCCGAACATGTGCTGTTTTTAACACTTCTGACTTGGAAATGTGCTTCGCGCCACAACGGCATGCACTTTTTCCACATCGCAACTTCAAAAAGCGCTCCAAACATGATGTTTTTTTGTGCATTTTGACTTCCAAGCGTGCTTCGGGCCACAACCGGGTGCACTTGTTCAACATCTCAGCTTCCAAAAGTGCTCTGAACACGCGGTGATTTGTGCATTTCGACTTCGAAATTTGCCACAACAGCATGCAACTTTTCATGTTTCATCGCTCATCTACCAACATGGCTCCGCACCCGCCGCTTTAGCGAGCCTACTTTTCAACCCTCCGGAGCAACAAAACATTGGGAAAAGCACAGCGTTTCGCGACTTTTCTACCTTTTCGTGCACCTGCATCTTCTTTCTTCTGACTCTTTCTCTTCTCTGATCTTCTTTCCTCTTCTCTTCTCTTCTCTTCTCTGACTCCCACCTCTGCTTTTTCATCTGTTCCTATTTTCAGAAGTTTGACTTCTAAAACTTCCTTCGGTTATTATATACTTATATACATCGTATGATCTAATATGTGACCAGGGCATATCAGTTGTTTCCATCCCTTCTCGTTGCACGCAGCGGTAATGGCCTATCTTCGGTGTGAAGCCGGCATTTTTCCACTCATTTCAACTTGATATTCAGCAGCTCGCAGTACAGTTTTTCTGCAGCATTTGCCATTGAAGAGTCTTCCACTTTGTTCCACCACTGATTGTGCCAATGAAATCCAAAGGTTGAATAAGTCTTGCTCCTGGGATCAATATAGTTCCGTCTTCGGATCATCGATTCCAGTGAAGTAGAGTTGAAGAACTGCGTGCGATTGGGTATCTCCTCGTCCGCAGCACGAGCACCTTTGTTGGTGATGCCCTCAAAGAAGCACGCGGGCAGCACGCGAAAAGTGGAATTGGCCACGGAGTGCTGAATTTCGTGTATCATGGCTTCCAGACTGCGAGATCCATAGGCGCCGTAAGTTGTGTTTACCCCCAGCCGCAAGATGTGTGCCAACCAGGCCGTCATGAACTTTGACTGAGGCTTGGACGACGACAACGCGTTGTTGTTAGGAAGCATTTTCCTCATGAAGACCACCCAATCCTCGCAGGTTTTCGGACCCACCAAAATGTTAGTTGAAGAAGGGACCAACAATAGACACACAACCGATCACATCGTTTGTCAATGTACCAGTGGTACTGCACAAGGCGGTGGCGGAAGTTTCAAGAATAGGAAAACTATAGGAGAGGTTGGTTGTTGCGAATCACGAATGGCAGAGCGAATCCACTGATGGACCGAAAGGTGGTTGGAGTCATGTTTTCGGAATGGTTGCAGTGGTTGCAGAGGTCACCTCACCACAACTGCTGGATGTAGCGTGGTGTAGTGCAGTTGTAGTTGTAGTTGCAGTTGTAACTGTAGTTGTAGTGAAGTGTAGTGGAGTGGAGTTGTAGTTGTAATGTAGTGTCATTAGTGTAGTTGCAAGTGCAGTTGCAGTTGTAGCCGTGGTGTGGTGTATTTAGTGTATTGTAGTGCAGTGTAATGTCGTGGAGTGTTGTGTAGTGTAGTGTGGCATAGTGTAGTGTAGCCTAGTGCAGTGTAGCGTAAGGTAGTGTAGTTGTAGCTGTAGTGTAGTGGTAGTCGTAGTTGTAGTTGCAATCGTAGCTGTAGTTAGTGTAGTGCAATGTAATCAGTGTAGTGTAGTGTTGTGTAATGTAGTGTGGTTGTAGTTGTAACTGTATTTGTAACTGTAGCGTGCTGCAGTGTAATTAATGTAGTGTAGTTGTAATTGTAGTGGTGGTGGTGGTGGTGGTGGTAGTAGTAGTAGTAGTAGTAGTTGTTGTTGTTGTTGTTGTTGTTCTTGTTGTTGTTGTTGTTCTTGTTGTTGTTCTTGTTGTTGTTCTTGTTGTTGTTCTTGTTGTTGTTCTTGTTGTTCTTGTTGTTCTTGTTGTTCTTGTTGTTCTTGTTGTTCTTGGTGCTGGTGCTGGTGCTGGTGCTGGTGCTGTTGCTGTTGCTGTTGCTGTTGTTGTTGTTGTTGTTGTTGTAATTTGTGTAGTGTAGTGTAGCGTAATTAGATGTAATTAGTGTAGTGCAGTGTAATTAGTGTTGTATAGTGTAATTAGTGTTGTGTAATGTAGCGTCCTGGACCTTCATTCTACCAGAAGTTTCTGGACGATGTGATTTGTACTACTAAAACTAGGCGTTTCCCGAAAAAGTAGGCGATTTGGTTGTTTCCAGAAAAACATGGTCCTGTGGATTCAGCCAGCTATGCGGTTGCAATGGCAATGGCGATGAGGCCTATATATGTCAGCATATGTTTTGTTGTTCTGTGGGATTTGGAAACATGGTAGCGCGCCTAACATTGACCATAGCTGTCGTCCAACGTCTGAAGTGCAAATCCAAATTCAAAAAGGAGTTGTTGACCACCGGGCACGACCACGGCAGGATCAGAAACAACACATTTGACCCACTTTTCCTGATTTGTAGCCGTTTGATGGGTTTTGCTAGCGTTTTGCAAGTTTTTGTAAGCGTTTTGAACGCAAAATTAGTCGTGGATTCTTGCTTAAATTCAGGATTTGCAGCATCTTTTCAAGTGTTTTCTGTCGTCACCTCTCTTGGAAACAAACCTGCGAAAACCAAACACCATGGAAACATCTATAAGAGAATTGTTAAAACCAACGCTGGGGTCCAGAGTTTTTTTGCTGGATTAAGGCATCCTGGGCCACAAAATCACAGATTCGACAATTGGTGTGTGTTGATGCCAGTTCTTCCAAAAACATTTAAAAACAATCGTTTTGGTAAACTACCACTTTTTGTGGTCGACTCCGAACAAAAGTGTGCAACAACCGCAGCAACAAAAAATAAATGGACGTTTGAAGATCCAGGGTAGTATATTCGTACTTGTAGCTGTAGTAGTAGTAGTGTAGTGTAGTGGTACTTGTAGTTGTAGCTGTCTATCTATCTATCCGTCTATCTGCAAGCTTGAAAACGCAGCTATTTTGCGAGACTTCCTCATTTTTTGAACTTGACAACGTCAAAAACGAAAAAAATATGCGAGACTTCCTCAATTTTCGATCTTGACAACATCAAAAACGAAACAAGTCTGCGAGACTTCCTCAATTTTCGAACTTGACGTCATCAAAACGAAACAATTCTGCGAGACGTCCTTCAAAAATGGAAAGTTGAGTGCAGAGCTGACGGCCTCGTACCAATGCGTTTTGCGATGTTTCCACTCCACCTGTCTAAAGTACTGCGCCTGCCACGACAAAAGTGATGCCAGGTCATATGAAGTGCTGCACCTGTCACGCAAAATATCGCAAACTCATCTTCCCAAAACTGAAGATCTGATGCTCCAAAATGCAACCCCTCTCAGGAAATCAGCGCCCGGGCCTCCTAACAGCTCTGATGAACATGTCTCTTGTACTGCGCCTGCCACGGAAGATGCATCTTTGCAGATCCTGTTCACATGTCCCACGCGTGCCATCGTTTTTGGAAATGCCACAAAACCCTTTTTTTTGGCTCACTTTTGACAAGGTGCACAATCCCTTGCACCTGCCACGCGAAACGACATTTGAACGTCCAAAAGTGGTCCAAACATGTAATGTGTTTAACATTTTGGCCTCGAAATGTGCTTTGTGCCACACTTGCGTGCACTTTTTCGACATCTCAACTTCCAAAAGTGCTCCAAACGTGAGGTGCTTTTAGCTTTTTCACTTCGCGCCACAACAGCGTGCAATTTTTCATCTCTTATCTGGCCAGCTGGCTCCGCACCCGCCGCTTTAGCGAGCCTACTTTTGGACCCTCCGGAGCCACAAATCATTGGAAAAACACCGTGTTTGGCGACTTTCCTACCTTTTCGCGCACCTGGATCTTCTCTCTTCTGAGACTTTCTCTTTTTTGATATTCTTTCTTCTTTTCTCTTCTCTGACTCTTCCCATCTCTGCTTTTCATGTGTCCATATTGTCGAAAGTTTGACTTCTAAATTTCCTTCGACAATGTATAAATATATATTTAATATAATATATAATATATAATATATAAACTATAATATAATATATATATAATATAATATATATAATATAATATATATTATATAATATAATATAATATAATATAATACAATATAATATAATATAAAATAATATAATATAATTTAATATAATACAATATAATATAATATAATATAATAATATAATATATATATATATAATAATATATATATAATATATATATATATAATATATATATAAACTAATATAATATATATATAATAATAATTTCATATATATATAATTATATATATAGATAATAACAAATACTATACATGTATATGTATATAACAAAATATAATATATATATATATAGTAATATACAAAATATAATATATATATATACACATATAGAAGCATGATGAAAACAGTTTTTCCTCCCACTCCTCCTCCAGGAGTGGGGATAGGCTTTGAACCAGCAAAGTATCGCTATCCATCCAGGCGCCTCCGTAGTTGTACAGCAGAAAAGCACGCATCAAATTGGATTTGGAACCAACAAATTCTTGCGACTCATACATTTTCACCAGTTCCTCAGTCAAGTTTGACAAGCTTTCAATATTGGCCTCATAGTGGCTACATACCTTCTTGATCTCTGCAGCCGCATCAAACCTCTTGATTTCAATATACTTGCCGTACTGTTCCAAAAGTGGTGCAAAGATCTCTTGAATCAGGGGATGCGTCTGTTCCACATTGGCCCAAAAGTACAGCTTGACGTTCTGAAGGTCTTGAGAAGCCAAAAAGGACATGGGCAAAAGTCGAAGCTTTCGAGCAGTCTCGACCCATCCGTCGAAGTTGTCCGCTCCTTCTGGCAGAAGAATACCGGTGTGAATCACGCCGGGGTGCTTTAAGGTCGGACGAGTATTCCGAAGCGCGTGCACCATCTGGAGGCACGGAGGACCTTAGAGTAGAATATCAGTGAGACCTGAAAAAGATTCAAACAGATTCAATAGAGTTTGGTTATTTATCAATATAGTGTATTCAAGTTGATTACAGATGATTGCAGTAGATATGATCAAATCTGAGGATAGATTCTCAATGAGAAAAGTCAAGATGGCCTTCAACAGTCCAAGTCACCTTTCATTCTGAAAGCTGTCAATGGCTCCATCTTCGCATCCAACTTTGGTAAGAGGGCTGAAAATTCAGGCGAACTCAAGCTGACTGCATCACCCTTTCCATACCAGTCTCTCGCTGTTTCCAGGGCGCCAAGGGTGCCGGGGGGGAGCTGAAACAAGTTGGAAGCCTCACAGTTGGCCCATGCCAAATTTAGCAGCGAAGCAAGAGACAAACATAGCAAAGTCCTGGTCCTGAGGGCTGCGTCCATCTGGTGTAGTACGGTTCGGTAGTGTTTGGTAATAGACCTTGAGCCAATGGGAGCCAAAATGGAAGAACAATTGAGGATAGGGGCCCCAGCTACTGACAATGGATCCTCATATCTGCTTTCGTCTCAGCATACAGAGCTATCTTTGGCGAAGTTCAAGAACTGAACCTGCCTTGACTGGCATGAAAGACTGGGAGTTTTGATTGGAGCCCATTTTCCAAGTCATGTTGAATCTATTCAGCCCTTACTGTGGGTGCCCACTGCCCTGGGGGGAGCTGCCCGTGCGCCTCGTTCACTGAGCCAAAAGAAGAGCTCACACAAGGCGTCCAAATCCACGGTGCCCAGCTGGCGCCATTCGGCCTTTTTCAAGGTCAGGAACTCGAACGAACGGAGAACATTATTTGCCAGAACGGAGTTGTTTTTGTCTTTATTTTTTTTTGGAGGAAATCACTATATATCATTATAAGTGTATGTGTATGGTGTGTGTGTGTGTGTTTGTGTGTGTGTGCACCTTGATCTTCAAAGTACCCACCAAAAAAGAATCGAATCCTGAAACCTTCTGTTTTTCCCTCTCATATGTGGGCATAATGAGGGTCTAGAGATACTTGGAGACATGCTTGCAAGCATTTTTCAAGAGCAAATCCCTGGTACCTTGGTACCTTGGTGTAACCCCAACCAGCTGCTTGTTTTGAATGTCAATCCTCCCATGGCCCGTGACGGCCCGGCGGCCCGGCCCGGGGTGTTCCATGCGCCTCGCTGGTTCCGCTCTCAAGGATGGCAACAAATCTCTCCTCTCCCGTGGGGATGGTCGCGGTAAACCAGACTTTTCTGATTTTTGGGGGGTTATTATGCGTTTGTCCGGAAAGATCATGGTCTGCATCCTGGAAAAAGTCTGAAATCGAATCAAATTTGGCTATCTATGTGTATGTGTGTGTATATATATATACAATATATAAGTTTTGCTTTAGTACCACATTTTTGGGATACCACTTAGTAAATATATTATATCCCCCTTGTTATAGGACTAGGGGATTGCATGGGTTCTATATGAACCACCAGCCCACTTCCCATGGATTCCCAAGGTGACTTGGCCACCGGTCCTTCTCATAGGAAGCCAGAAGATCCGGCTGCAATGCTGCCTGGCACCGGCTTTTTCTATAGCTGGATATGGTGCAACCAACCCCAAAAAAAGATCAATAAGTGACCTCCACCTAAACTAGTGTTTTTGTTTAATGTTTTCGGATGTTACAGTAATTGCAATATATAATAGTATATATATATATTAGTATATATATATATACATATTAGTATATATATATATATATTCTTGTTAGTATAAATATATATATGTATATTTACATATATCAGTATATATTATGTACATATATATATATATAGTTTGAATACATATGTATATATATATATATGAGTACATATATATATATGTATATATATACATATTAGTATATACATATTAGTATATATATATATATATATCAGTATATATATATATATATCAGTATATATATATATATATCAGTATATATATATATATCAGTATATATATATATATATCAGTGTATATATATATATACAAATATAGAATAGTTTAAATACATACATATATGCATATTAGTGTATATATAAATATATATGTGTATATATATATATATATTAGTATGTATATATATGTATATATATATATATCAGTACATATGTATATATATATATACATGAATATATATATATATATACATATATATATATATTAGTAAATATAAATATATAGCAGTAAATATATATATATATACATATATAATAGTATGTACATGCTATAGTATATATATATATTATAGTATTAGTATGTACTTTAATAGTAATTATAGTGTATATATATATATTATGGGATATACATTTATGTTTGCAAAGCATAGTGTATATACATAATGGTATGTATATATTCATATTACAGTACAGTAAAAAATATTAAGGTAAATAGTATAGTATAGTATAGCAATAGTAATAGTAATAGTAATAAACGTAATAGTAGTAGTATATATATATATTATGTGTGTACCTAGTACAGTGTAGTATAGTACAGTACAGTACAGTACAGTATAGTATAGTATAGTATAGTAAAGTATAGTATGTATATATATAATATGTATTATAGTATTAGATAATTGTATAATATGTATATATATATATATATTATAGTATACAAATTGGAATACTTACTTATTTATGCATAATATATATATATATTATATGTATAATGTATACATGGTCTTGAGCCCAAATCCCATAAAGTCAGGCCGAGTGATAGATTCGAAATGGATTGAAATAGATTTCACTGGTGAGTCTGGCAAAGAATGCGCTGCCTCCTGCCCCAAAAGCCTTCCGAAAAGGAAAAAATAACCTTAAGAACATGTAGTAACAATTATAAGTGTATATAAGTGTTATAATCCATTTATAGATGGGATAACGTACTTAGGGATACTTAGGGGACTCACGATGACCAGGTTTTCTGTCACCACTGATCCGTGGATGATCCTCCAAGATCCAAGTACACTACCGTCACTACCGTCACTACCATCCCATATGCACCTGGAATCCAGGAATATTTACTACCTGACTCGTTCATGTAGGTAAATCTAGCATAGACAATCGTTTACAATAGATTCTCCCAAGTTTATCCTTTAAGTAAATTCCTCCCTGAACATCGTTTTCATATGTGTTCATGCTTAAATGTGACCTGGATTTCCTAAAAATCATCCCGGCCAACCAGAAACCTGGGCTGCCCGGACCAATGTCGCCGCCTCCGCCTTGGGACGAAAGCGGTGTGTGTGTATCTGTGCACTATCTAAAGTCGATAATGTATTAATAGTTGTACATTTATATGCCATATCCATATAACTCACTATGACTAGTGGTTAATGATTATATATTGATCGCATTATTTAAGCACCAAAACATGTCCCTCTGTGCATATGTACATAGTTGATCATAGTTGCACATTTACAGTATATGTCATATACAGAGAGGGACATGTTTCAAGTTCAAGACATCAGCTGATGTACGGTAGATATCCAAATTTGAGCCCCTCTTTCTGGGTGGTCAGGACCACATCTTTAGATGGTCAAATTACAAGTTATTACACTTATTGATAGTCAAAAGACATGCTGTTGTGGCGGTCTGGTGGTCTGGTGGTCGGGTTTGCTATGTTTGATTCCTTGTTCTTTTGTATAGATTGAAATGAGAACAGCTGCCTTTTGTTTTGTATCTTTAATATGCTCTAAAAGTCAAACGACTCATTTTGCGGAGCCATAAAAGTGAGCCCCACAATCAAACCAATTGTAACATGAGTCATTATTGTTTCTTCCCTTTTTGGTAATCACCACAACTTAATGTTAGCAACACAATAGTAGACCATCCGGAATCATCGCCAAATTTACCAATGGGCTGGGTGGTGTAAACCTTCAAAATATCGGCCAGAACATGCCCCACTGGGTGTCGTTTTGGCACTTTTTCGGGGGGGGGTGTCATCACGACGCCCCTTAATTTCTAAGGTAGTTTCAACCATGTTTTGGGCCATCTGGGATATACATCTCATCTTTGCTATCTGAGGTCACCGAAGCGATGATTTTGAGATGTTTTTGTTGGCACCCCAAAAAAGGCGCGTGTGAAACGTGTCATTTGAGTGTCGGGGGGGTGATGGGGGTGTAGCTACGGCGCTCCCTTAGGCTAAGGGGTGTCACTACGGCACCCCTTAATGCGTGTCGGGGGGGTGTCACTACCAGTGACACGCGTGTCATTTGCGTGTCAGAGTTCCAAAGTTGAGTTTTTTTTGTCTAGCTCGTCTCCAACCATCTCTCCCAAAAATGGTGCTATCAGCATCGTTATCACCAAATCCTGTTGTGATTTCTTGGTTTGGCTAAGGGGTGGCTACGGCGCTCCCTTAGATAACATAGCTTCTGAAATCGTAGCGTGACCTCTTGGAAGGTCTTGGGTCTTTTTGGGGATGTTTTTAAATCATCAAGTATGGTATCACCAAGTGCAATGAATAGGAATTAAGCATTCCTATTGCTTTATTTCATTTTAATTTCATTGTATAAACATGTATAAACCACCTATTACCCTCTGGTAATGACTAACATAGCTATTGAAAATGGCCATATTTATAGTGAGTTTTCCCATTAAACATGGTGATTTTCCATAGTTATGGTCCTTGCTGGTGCCTTTTGCGCATCACCTCCCGTCCCTCAGCTCTCATCCCAGCTGCCAGGGCGGTGGCCGATGCGCCACCTATAGGGTGCGGAGGATTGGGATCCCATGGGATTTCCACAAAACGATGCCCATGGGATCCCTGGGAAAGCTGGAAAAGATGGGGAAAACCATCATCGAACTAGCCTGGAAATACGAAAAACCAACGAATCTTCGGGGATAAAATCACTGAGTTGACCCACGAATCGGGGATTGAGGACTGTTTTTGGCTGATTCTCGGCAAAGACTGAGGTATACTCCCATATTTCATAACAATCCCCTTATGTTTCGTTGGTTCAATGTTGTCAATCCCTCGTTCTGTTGGTCAAATCATCATTTTGGCCGCTGGACCCCAACTCCTTCCGCCCGCCTTTCTTGGTGCGGGTGAAACCGCGGGCACAGCAAGTGCAGCGGAAGCCGCAGCCACAGTATTGCCTAAGGTACAGCCGGGTCCAGGTTGTCTCTAAGGCCACGAATGATGAGAAAACATGAATCCATCTAGAGTTAGTATATAGGCCATTGTCTTATATAATGTATTATATATATTATATATTATATAATATATATATATATATTAATTAATTAATGAAACGTTAACTATACAGTAGTTAAAATATGGAAAACTGTGAAAAAAACTAGTAAAGTGCATGTTACCAATATTGTATATTATATGCAATAAAATATGAATCTAGTGTTCTTTCTGTTTTGGGGAAGCCTTGATGAATTTGCAACATCAAATTCCACTTGCCAAAGGGTGACAATCAACCCTGCGGAACCTGTTGGCTTGCCAGCTAGCCCTCTACAGTACAACCAGCTCAGGACTCAGGTCAGGCATTCCAATTTGGCTAGTCTACTACAGAATTCAATGAAGGTTACATCATCTTACATCCCATTTCGGGTGGTTAAATAAATATAAATTGGCTGGATCAATCAAATGATGTCAACCCTGTATCCATAAACCCTGACTATTAATTCAAGTACTTGTATACCCTCAATATATATATATATATAGCATACATGGATCCTATGGGTCATGGTTCAACCGTTCAAGCCCTACTTTCCAGCGGTGAACATCGCTTTCACCGTCCAAGCTGCGCATGGTATTGACAGCGCAGCACCCCACTGCCTCGGCCGCTACTGCGCCGCAGCGGCTCGTCGGCCGTCTCGTCCAGGCTGGATCCTACGAAGGAATCGCCCGTGGGGCGCCGTGGAATGGCCATGTCTTTGGGGGGCCCTTAGCAGAAAAAAAAATGGGCTTAGGATATATGACCTTAAAGCCTTAGTTATAATATGTTATAATTAGAAAGTTAGAGGAGTTACGTAGTATACTTCCATGTTTGATTGTTAAGGGCCATAACTGCATGTCTTAGGGCCTTTTTTGACCAATAAATGATTGGATGTTTGATGGGTTTGACTTATTTTGGATGGACTCGAACAATTGATATGTTTACCGTCAAAAATTGGATGGACTTGTCAGATTTGGAGGGACTGTCCGCAACAAAAACAGGGATCTTACGGTACCATCAGACATTGCGATCTCGTCCACAGAACATAGGGAGTTCACCCGCAGGAGGGATGCAAGCAGCAAAAACCCCTGATTTTTTGGCAAACCCGGGGATGCAACGATCAACAGTACTTGGTAAATTGATGTCAATTGGTAAATCACTGTTTGCTATCACAGGTAAATTGTCAACAATTACAGTGTTGATTTCGATATAGTTTAAATAGCTTAGGTATAGTTGTCAAACATTGGTTGACAATCAAGAATGGCGCTTGCACCCATCATGATTCAATATTGTAACCAACTACTGGGGGGCAACAAAACCCATATCGACATGATTCAAATAAGCCATCCCATTATACTGGTTGGTTCAGAGGTAACCCAACCCCATGGGTTATCATAATCCCCATTAATGTTAGCCTCCGATTAGTGTCATGGTACCCTATTGTGAGGTGTTTTCCCTTCCTAACTGAGCGTCTTGGGGGAAGCCTCTCTTGTGAGAAGTTTTTTCTCAGATCATTTTTTTTCAGGAGGAAAAAATGGTTCAAGAAAAAAAAAAATCCTTAATTAAACTTAATTACATGTTTTTTTAATTTTGCACACCTGGTCCATTTACTTTAGACAGCCATATCCATGCTAAAGCCTTGAAAATGCACGGTTTTCCAAAAAAAATAGATGCCTTTTTAAACTCCTTATGAAAAAACAGCACCCAAACAACTTTTCAAGGGTGTACCCCATGAGTGACCCAGATCCTCAATAATGCAATTGTTTGATGGTACCCTATTGTGCACAAAAATTTTTGGTGCATTGTTTTTTTTGATTTAAAATCAATTGAAAGTAGATTCAAGGGAATTGAAAGTAAATTGATTTCAATTGAAATCCTTTCTTATCAATACATTTCTTTGAAGTTTAACAGGAATCTCAGTTGAAAGTAGATTGATGTCAATTGAAATCCTTAATTAAGTTGACTATCCTAAAAATTGTTGAGTTATTGAATAGCCTAAAATTGTTGAGGGGGGGCCACACTAATCAGAGCCCAACATTAAACCATGTAGTATCGTCCATAGTTTCATAACCAATCAACAATGCTAATTATGTTTAATCCTTCAAGCGGGTTGAGCCTCTTCAGAAGGTGAGCCCTCCATACTCACGACATCAGCCGACTCTCAATCGGCTGGTTGTTGGTTGATACGCCTTCAATGAATCTCTTATGATTGGGAGGTGCCACCTGAAGGAATTTCCTCACATTCTATATCAAAGATTCTTCTCATAAACATCTTTAACTATATCATAATATCTACTACATCATATCGGTTGACTTCCCATGAAACCCAAACCTCCACAGTTTTGGCCCAGTTATGGCGCTTCAGCAGTTTTAAGTCAGTAAATTACAACCCCATCTTGTGGAATGATAGCTCCATTTGGGTATGGGTCAATACCTATAGATACATTTTCAGTGGGTTATTCGCATCCATAAATCCCAGCTATGACTTGGGGTTCACCAGGGGTACCAGGGTTTTGACCCATCCCCATTACTTGTTAATGGTAAAGGGCTTCAACACCGGTGCCCCCATGCCAGGTTTACCTCCACCAAAGGAGGCCAGGAATGCCGAGAGGGCCGCAAGATCTTGCCGCGCGCAAGGCCTGGCAGAAAGTCAGTGGAATCTCTGATGCAAAAGTCACCGAGAAATGTAACTACCCTCTGGTAATGACTAACATAGCTATTGGGATTTAATGGGATTTATGGTGGTTTAATGGGATCTAATGGGATTTACCCTCTGGTAAACATACAAAAAGCTATTGAAAATGGCCATAGAAATAGTGGAGTTTTCCCATTGAAAATGGTGATTTTCCAATAGTTATGTTAGTTTACCAGAGGGTATACAGTCCGACTTGTGATTTCCCCATTTGAAGAAACCCCAAAAAAAAAGCTCTGCAAAATCATACCAGATCATATCTCTGTTAAACAATATAATATAATTAATATCTTTGGATATTTAGCCAGAAACTCCCCATACTCCCTCCGGGTAGCCTCAAACTCACTACGGATCACTATGGTCTACGAAACAGCAGTGGTATGCGTTGGCCGTGTGGAGTACCTTCCCGCACGGGTATGTGGAATACAATTTTTGCATAGTATACGGAGATTTTCTCAGGGGAAAGCAAGTTTTGGAATTTCGCATGGTTAATAAACTTATATATAGATAGATAGATCAATACAATATATATGTATATATACAAATTATATCAAATTATATACATATCTTTTCAAAATTGTAATACTCCCCACCCAAAAAAAAAAACAACGCCAACTCACCCCTCCAGGGGCCGCACGCAGGTTCCAGGCCCCGGCTCTCGTCCGCCGACAACCTGTGATTTTTCAAAGTCCAAAAGTTGATGATTTTTAGCGGACTTTGTTGAGGATTTTAGTCTGTGATTTTAGTTGATGATTTTTGATGTCTTTTTTTAGTGGTCAACATCCGTTTAGGGCAAGAATTCTTGCAAAGCCTGAAGATTTTGGCATGATGGAGAGTATATCACCATTTGTTGGAAAGGGATTGGGGGCATATACCCCAGCTTCAAAGCGTTTGTGACATTCTGCCCTTGGCTATGTCACATGTATCTCACGTCCACAACTTAATGCTGGTTACACCCATATTGCTGGTTGGTTATGAACCCAGTCTTGGCTGATAATAGATGAACTATGTATGTACTATGTATATACTGAAATTTCTATTATTGAATAATTACTGAAAGCGCCGCTTTTTGTTTGTCCCTTTGGCACCCCAAAAATTCGTCAGTCCATCGGTGTTCACCAGTGGTGACAGGTCCGTCAGGTCGTTTCCAGACCGTTTGCAGCGCACCATGATGTCAGTGGCAACGGACGATTCATAGCCTCAGACTCCTCACGGCGCGGCGGGTTCTCCTAGTTCTCACAGGTCAACAAAAATGGTACACCTCAAAGTTAAAAGTGGAGACACATATCCTTCAAAATGATCAATCAAAAACATAGAGTGTTCAATATACTTAGTTAAGCTGAGCCAATTGAGTTTGTGTATTGGGACCCAATTTTGACCCATTCCCACAATGGAATTGTTGATGCGTACTTCCAACTCATCCCCCTGATACTCATTGAACATACTTCTGAAGTAACAAATGTCAACATATGTTCCAAGCATAGTTGTCAGGTAGTCTCCATAGTTGGCAAATGTTAGCAAGTCAGACATGCACTACCTTGATTGGAAGATAATCATGGCTAGCTTTGCATGGTCGTAACTTAAAATTACGGTGTTGTCAAAATGTATGACCAGAATCTGCCAACAAACATATTTTTTATCAGATTCATCGTCTTTAGCACACAAATCAATTGTTGTATCCATTTTGTTTTGAGTTTACACTTCCCCTATCCAACCATAAGCAATTTATCGTAGATCCTTGTCTATCCATCGTTCATCATTGTTCACCATCTACGTTGTTCACCTGCTACGCCTAAAATACCAATAAAACCGACTAAATCTCATTAACATCCTTTTGAATCCCTTTAATTTCCTTTAAAATCCCATTGAATCCCATCAAAAACCCATCAACATTTCTTTAAATCCCATCAAAATCATGTCATAATCCCAATTAATCCCACTAAATCCCATTGAAATCCCATTGAAATCCCATCAACAACCCATCAACATCCCTTTATAGATCCCATGAAAATTGACCATGGCACAGGTGTCTACGTAGACGCCCCCTCCTGCGACTCCCGCTTTGGGCTCGAGGATGATGCGCTGAAGGTTACCAAGTTGGTCACCAACGGCTCTAGCCTGGCTGTGGGAGGAGAAGCTACCAGGATCTTAAAAGTCTAGTTATTTATATAGTAGTTATATAGTAGTTCACAATCTAGTATTCAGATAGTACTTTAGCTATACATATAGTTGTTATATGGTATTACAGAGAGTAATTGAACATATAGTAGTATTATTATATTTTGTTTAAGATTCTAGCTATATATACTATTCAGATACTACCAACACAAAAAAATATAGTTGATATATATATATATATACATAACGTTTTCGGATGGGATGGGATGACTAGGATAAACTAAACTGGATAATATATGTGTGAAATGATTGTATGTATAATATATATATATATATATCGTAGTTACTATGTGTAATATATGTGTATGTATATATATATATATATGTATATATATATACATATATATATATATGCATATACATACATATATATATATATATGGAATGGCTGTCATCATTATAATTTGGAATAATATTGATATATTATGATCCTGTGACCCAATGATTGGATGATCTATGGTTGACTATTGTAGCTTGGAATTTTAACATGATAGCTTGATATGATAGAAGGGGATAGAAGGGGATAGAAGGGGATAGAAGGGGATAGAATGGTACTTAAGTAAAAGTGATTTCACATATATATATATATATGTGGATAGTGGATAGTCATTACGGTTCTATCGGCAACAACACGTGGGTAACAGTTCCTGTATTTTTTAGATCAAGAAAATATGATAGGGATCTAAGAGTCTAAGAGGGATATGATATATATATATATATATTATTTATATTATATATATATAAACAACACTAAATGATATGACATGATATGGGGGTTCATTAACATAGGGGGACCCCAAGGTGTGTCAGAAACATTGAGATTCCCACCCTTGTGTGGCATGGGAATAGTTTGCAGCAAGAATTGTGATCGCTTGGGACATATGATGTAAATGGGAGCTGGAATATCAATGGATGGAGATTGAGCAGATTGGTGTGTTAGATGTAGAAATTGCAGGAGCTGAGGCACCATTGGTGATCTGAAAATTGGTACCCCAAAACTTGATTCTTTCAGCCTCATTTTACGAATGTTCACAAAAACATGATTTATATAGTTAGTTATACTGCAAATGTCCCCGCTAAAGCTAAAATAGATAAAAATAACAATTTGGAGGTATCCCCCATTTTCAGACAGGCCCAAATCAAATCACCTGGATTTTGTTTTAAAGTATATATCCCACCATAAACACATCCCACCAGAGTCTCTCCGAAGTTGCCTGAAGTCAATTTATAACGGTGGTTTCATCAGGTTGGTGCATAATTATCTATAAAGTATACACTATACATATATATATATATATATAATGCCTACCGGGTATACTGTAAACCCTAGTTCCATGGGTTGCAAACTTTATGAAACCAACTCAACCAACCCAAATCACATATGAATAGCGAACAAAATTGTTCAGTTTTATGCCATGCACTTTTTTTGGGTCGTCCCCTATCTGTGAGGATTTCTGGGTTCTCAGAGTCTCCCCAGATTTGCTCCGTTGAAAAAAGGGCCTGGAACGACAGGTCACGCAGGCGACGCGATGTTTCAGGGCTGCAGCAACGGGTTCCTGGGCGGTTTCTGAATCAGTAAAGGCTATAGGATTTCAGCAACAAGAATTATAATACTTGATCATATATGTAATATAATATATATATATAATATATTATAATATGATATAATATGATATGATATAATATAATATAATACATATATATAATATAATACGTAGAATATAATATATATATATATTATAGTATTATATATATAATATTATATATGTACATACTTGATTTACATGTTAGCTAAGTTGGTAGATTCAGAATTCATATATGACTATATAATTTACACCTTATAGTATCTTATAGCCATATAGCAGATATATCTGAACTTTATGGCTGTCGTCATGGTTAACCGTTCATGAATATACGTGTCGCTGATCTTATAACATCAACATATCTCAACATAGTCTAAACATGGTAACACGTGAGCGCTTGCCAACATGCTTCCAATATCTTGTAACATTATTTACAAAGACTGGGTCAAAATGTTCAGAGATGTTCAGCATCCATATTGACCCCCTAAGAAATAGCAGGATACTCCGGAACAAACAACTGACAAATACTTGACTTGGCCGCGCTAGTTGACTGGGTTGATCTACCCGGCCGAAAGGGCCCAGGAACATCAGCTGGAACCTGCAGGTGAATATCCATGAATATCCTCTAAACGTACCAAAGAACGGATCAACATCAAGCCAGCGTTGTAGATTGAATTTGAACATCTTTGAAGCCCCTTTTTTTAACATCTTTTTGCGTTCACAAACCATCATCATCCATGTAGGCTGTCCGAATGTTCCGCGTCTTCAGGAACAAGGGCAGGGACGGATCGTACATCCGATGCGGCAACTCTAGCGGCTCGCCAAAGAAGATATGCCAAAGGAACATCATATTTTGACACACCACGCGGCCCCTCATGTCGAAGTCCGCGGCCCGACGCTGTCGCGCAGGTGACCATTTGCTGGGCAAATAGAAGTAGCTCTCCGGCGACATCACAAACTTCACCGCGTTCTCATAGAAGCGTCTCGGCCGGAGCAAGGCGCGATCTCGGGACAACACAAAGTGCGAGCAGCAGTAGGTGCTCACTTCGCCAGCAGCTGGTGCGATGCTACTGCCAAAAAGGCCTTTCCACAAGGGTGTCATCAGGTCTGGATTCCATCTCATGGTTACCTGGCTTCAGCCACGTCAAGTTGGGGTAATCTTTATGTCGTCCCAACTGGGGCTGGAAGTTTCATAAGAAATAAGAACTTCATTACTTCAAGATTTGAAATCCGGTCATGACAAATCAAATCAAAATGGAAACTCCAAGAGATGAAACCTTGGAAACCCCATCCCAAATGAATAGGGAATCCAGGAAAAGATAGGAAAAAATAACATACGAGTACCGTTTCTAAACAAAAACCACGAACAAGTTACCCGATTGTTCCCCAAATGTGCAAAGGGCACACTGGCCCCGTGCATCAACGCCCGCAGGGTATCATCGATGATGTTGGGCCGACCGGCTCCAATGTGGTCCGGCATGTCCGCATGGACAAAGACCATGTGTCTCGGAAGGGCATAGTAGTAATGATGTAGGTATCCTTGCAAGGCTCACCAGTCATCTTGATTCATCTTGTTGGCACTGGAACATAGCTGAAAATCATATTGAAAACATAGCGGAAGTTCCCGGGATCAACAACTGGGAAATACATTGTTTGGATTTACACATTCCCATAGGATCCCATAGCTTGAAATACATTCCCATGACGGATCCATGGTGCTGGTATATTAGTGCTAACATGACTGGGGTATATTGATGGGATCCATGTTACCATATATAGCAGCATACATGGATCCTATGGGATGTGTAAATCCAAAGAATGTGATGATTTGGCCTACAGAAAAGTTGGGGCTTTGACAATCAAATGGCCTACAAGGCATCGGCAAAATTCGGCAAAAACTCCACACAAAAGATGGACCACACCAGCCACAAAGCCCCTACCCCCTGCTCGTCACATCAGCCACAAATAATATCATTGATCTGGGTAAAAAAAAAACATGATCATTCACCAACCTGAAAAGTTTGGTGAGTTTGGTTGGTGAATTAATGTGGATTAATGATGATTAATGTGCATTGATGTTGGGAGAATTACCATAAATCCCAACCTTCAAATTTAATTACGTCGTGACATTGTGAGGTCATGCAGTCTCCCAGCTCCAGTGCCCAGTCTCCTAGGTAGGCACTGCATTCATCAGCCCTCAAAGGCAAATCCTCCACGTCCTTGGCTGAAGATTTCCCAGCTGGATCTGCCTACATCAACCAATTTGGGGGATGATTTAAACTGATTATATCTGAAATTCATACCCTCTGATAAACTAGGTACTGGCGCCAATAGCGACCCTGTGGAATTTGAAAATTGTTCAGAATGGCAAGAGTTCAAAACCTGCGTTTTGGAGCGTTGTAGAAGTCAAGATTCAAAGGCTTTAAATGTGTTGGTATTTGCAGGAGGGCCAGCCTTTTTTCATTTTGGGCCATTGGAATTGTGGTTTTCAGGACCCTTTATTTTTGGAAAAAAAAACAAGAACCCAACTTTCTCACAAGAGACACCTTATTTGAAATGAAGTTAACGTTAAGTAGCGCAGCATCATCTTTGTTACATGAAGTGAACTTCAAGTAGCATAGCATACATTTGAATTTTATTTGATATGATGTTAACGTTAAGTCGCGTAGCATCATCTATGTTACATGAAGTTAACTGCAAGTAACATAACATCTTATATGCAATGAAGTTAACACCAAGTATCGTAGCGACATCTATGTTACATGAAGTGTGCTTGATTTAGCGCAGCATTCCGTATGTGACAAGAGGTTAACTTGAAGTAGCATAACATCTTATTCAAAATGAAGTTATATAATGTTAAGTAGTGTAGCATCTTCTATGTATGCAAGCGCCATTGAAAGTTATTGCACCCCCCCTAACCCCCCACCCCCCACCACCCTACCCGAACCTCCCACCATCAAAAGCAAGTAGCGTAACATCACGTATGTTAGTGCAGGTATACGTCAAGTAGCGTGGCATCCACTGAGAGTGCAAGACATGTGTGCAAGTGCAAGGTTTGTTTAAGTAGCGTACAAAAGATGTATGCTAGTTCAACTTAACCTGAGTTGTGATTTTTTTTTTCTGATGTAGGGTGTTATCATTTTATAGGTACCTACGCGAGGCTTACATTTCGCGTACGCGCACACAATTTCAGCCTACGCGGAAGCTTGGGTGGGGATAGGTTGCCTACGCAGGCCTACGCGCGTGAGGTTTTATGCAATTTTTAGCTGAATATGCCTACGCGCCCACAGTCTCAGCAACATTTTCGTATGATTGCGCACCCTTTTACAAAGCTGTTCATGATCCAATGATCGCATTAAAAACAATGAGGAGGAAGAGGGCCATGTGCTTATTCACTGGTTGTTACATGGTGAGAGCACATTAGGCAACTACCTATTTCGCCAAAAATGCATCGAGCACGTTGAGCGCGCGGTTTTTTTTCCAGTCCGCAGATGACTCAAACGAAGAGGAGGAAGAGGAACTTGAAGAAGAAGAAGAAAAAGAAGAAGGAGAAGAAGTAAAAGAAGAAGAAATGATTCCGCAGGTCGAAGACGCTGGTTCTGCCGTTGCTTCTTGGCAGCAGGGAAACAACATATAATGTTGCAGGGGCATGTTTGGGGGAATCCCTGGTCATGAGAGTTTTCGCCTACGCGTTGCCTACTTTTTGCCTCCGCGGTGCCTACGCGGGGGAGCTCCTTTATTTTTGGATTTTGGCTATGCAAACTTCGAGGCTTGAGACTCTGCAGAAAAGGGAACAAAATAGTTCCATGGGCTGTTGTTTCTCAGCAAAACAGTTGCTATCTTCTAATTACTTGTGTTTTTTGGACAGCGGAAATTTCACATGCCGCATCGAGCTACACTCATTAGACCCTTCAATCTTGACCCACAGGCTGCAATTCGTCGAATCCGCGGTCGCCTACGCGGCGTCTGCCGCAAAATAAAGCAAAATATGCCTACGCCAGCCTACGCACCCCAGCAAACTGTACATCCAACCATGTGCAGGTCAACTCTCATATAAATCTTTACTTGTAAAAAAAAACTCTGCTCACCTGACATAGCGTAGCATCATCTATGTTAGAAGAAGTCAACGTTAAATACAGCATAAAATATATTAGCTGAAGTCACCTTCAGTAGCTTGGCATCACCTGCACCTTACAAGCAACGCCAAGTAAAATTGCATGTTCTATAAATGCAAATGCTATTGAACGTTGTTGCACCCCTCAACAAACCCCACCCCCCAACCCACCCGAAACCCCCAGAAACTATAAAGTGGTGTTTTCCTATGGGGTCGCTAACAGCGCCGCTAGCATAAACTAACAGAACCATGGAAAATCACCAGGTTTTAAAGGTAATTCAACTTATACATGGCAATTTCCGATAGCTAAATTTCTAGAGGGTAAATCCATCAGCGCAGCATCCAACTGCTCCACAGATCGCCAGAGATGTTTGAAGGGCACGGCCTCAATGGCATCGACACCTGGGCACTTGGCCACCATCACCACGTCCACTTTGGGCATAACCTTGCGACTGAAGGAACTGTTCATCCAACTGAGTTCCTCTCGACCTCGAAGAATCGCTGCCAGCAATGGAAAGCAAGTTCTGAACTGAATGTTACGCATATGTTTTCCGTTTTTTTCCTTGGGAGGAATCAATTCGAGGTGATCTTGAGTTGGGTAAGTTGCAAGGACATTGAATGAGCCTCTGTCATTTGGAAAAAAACAAAGACCGTCTCCAGCAAAATATCGTTCAATGATTCAATAGAATATAATAATAGATACTAATAGAATGATAATTGAACAACATCTGAGACATATGTCACAGCTGCCAAATGAGCTGGCCCATCCAAAACTCAACAATCAAATGTCAAGTTATTATACAGTATACTGAACCTAATTCAACGCTCAAATCACTTGCTACAACCCAACAGAACAATCTCAACCCCCCCCAAACAAAACTCGAACATCTGCCAGGTTATAATAGCTCAACACTGATGCTAAGTTTTTTGCCCATAAGTTGCTTCCCCCAAGCATTCATCAAGTAGCATCAAGCGACAATAGCTCAACACATCCCTATCAAAAAAAAACTAAAAGCATCCACCTACTAGCAATCAAAACTTCAAAATTTGCTAGTTTTCAATAGCTCAACACTTAGTTTATAATTTGTGTCGCTCCATATATACGAAGATGTTTTTTTCAACATGTCTATATCAGTGATGAAAATGTCTCAGGCATCCAGTCAATCACTCGATGAATCAGTCGATGAATCAGTCGATGAATCAAGTGACAGTAGCAAATGCTTCAATCATATATAATCATATATAATCCATATTATATATATATATTATTATATAGATAATCATCATCAATCAAGTGACAGTAGCTCAAGACCAGGGTGACATCTGGAAACCTCCGAAATCTCCTCTGCTTCGCCTTGATCCGCTCACTCTGCCGCAGTTTCTCCAGACCCAGCTCCAAGGGCCAGGCATCGAAGTCCGTTTTCTCGGCCTCACTGCTGGTGAAGGCGTGCTGGAGGTTGCGGGTGTAGCTCAGCAACCTGGCAGCTTTTTGAAGGTTTTTCTACAGGGAAGAAGCTGACAAAAGCCTGGAAAAATGATGAAACATGGTGGTTTCACCCGGAAAACTGATGTTTTTCAGAGGAAACATGATAAAACACTGGTGGTTCAAGATGGTTTCCAGTACAACTTGCGGCACTGATAAAATTTGGCTCACGGATGTTCACGGGATGAACGTGTACAGGGTTTGCCAGTTTTTTCATGTTTGTTGTGCCTACGAAAGAGAAGAGTTTTCCCAAGGAGCCGGGTTTGCTGTAAAGTGTTCCCCTCATACCAGTTTCAAGTTGGGAACCGGAGTAAATTGGGAAAACATGGTGACATGGTGGAAATGTAGGGAAAAACGCAATCATCACCTAAATATGTTTGCATGATTTCGGTAACGTCTTTGAGAAAATAATCCCGTACAGCAATATGCAGTAATATTTTTTTCAGGTAATATGATGCCGCAATTCTGGTGTTGAAACTGCCTGAGGAAACTGAGGAAGCATCCTTTCTATTCTCATGATATTCCTACTCTAGCCGCCATCATCCAAATTTCTACTGACTGCCTCATTTTCCATCCAATAAGTTAATTATATAACTGCTATGGATCAAGCCGACCGTACCCTTGTGAACTTACAAACAGCTGGCAAAAACATGTTCATCCCCAAACATATGCCAACATATGGTATGAAAATTGACTTTATAGTAACTTTATAGCTCTCATTTTGTTTGCCAAGCAACTGCTCAGTCACTGTCTCCGGTCTCTCCAAAAAACCTCGTTCTTCGATCTGCAGCAGCTGCGCTTGCAAGGCCGCAGGGGGGCACAGCAGGAAGCGCGCATCGTAGTTGGCCAGGATGCGCGGCCAGAGCTCGATCAAGGCGGGTTTGGACCGTCCCAAGTTGTAGTATTCAAAGGCCAAGTTCCGAAAGCGCCTGAAGTAGGAACCTGGCTGCTTTTGGAACGTTCAGCCACCCGGGTCATTAAAAGATTGATGTACAATGTAAAAAATATGAAAACAAGTGGGAGAATCCAATGAGAATCCTGGATCTTCATCCCTTTATTTATGCTTGACACATGTTAACACCATCCAAAAGGAATCTTTGAATCAGCACCAGGAGCTGTTGCAGCCCACCTTTTGCGGATCTCCGCCGCTCTCACAACAGGATTCAAAGGTGTAAACGTCATCCCAGCATTCCGTGTTTCCCTCAGGACCAAATTCTGGCGCACAGCAGCTTTCGAAGCTAAAGCCCACTGACCAACAACTTCCTGCGGGCGCGGCTGACTTCTTTGGTTCAGGCCGCGGTTCGTCTTTGGCAGGGTTTGTTGTCACAGTGGACACTAAAAAGGCGATGGTCAACAAGCTGCGAGAGTCCATTGCGCGCATGAGGATCCATTGCGCGCAAGATGCAGGCAAGACCACTCACTGTAGTTTGTTACTGTCTTGGCAGAAAAAAACTATTACCATCTGGTTATTTAACAGTTCGCCATGGAACATCACCACGTTTAATAGGTAAACCATCTATAAATGGGCCATTTTCCATGGCTATGTTAGTCATAAACAGAGGGTAACATGCACTGCATCTCCATGGCAAAGGCTCGGTCCGTCGGTCAGTTCTTTTCCGGCTACCACAGTCACTGTGAAATGTGAGCAATTTGCGACCCCCACTACACACACATACACATACGTATTGCTGGTTCTCAGCTGATGTTGATTGACAGATGCTGGTTGGTGGTTGACCTACCCCTCTGAAAAAAATGAGTCAATGGGAATGATTATCCCGTATATATCCCATATATTATGGAAAAGAAACAGGTTCCAAACCACCAACCAGGATGGGTTTGTCTGAAATAGGGGTAGCCCCACATCATCCATTTATAGATGGGATTTTCCATGAAATGGGGCTGTGAGCTCACCTTCTGAAATGGCATGGCTACAGTGGGCGAAACTTGATACAACTGGCTATATCAATGGTTTAATTTTGACAAGAATGGCCAAAATCCATGCATGTTCGATGTTTGAAAAGATACGTCACCATAGAAGATTCAAAATCCAAAGCTCAACCAGTAGATATCACATGATAATCATGATATTATAAATCACTCTAGATCATTGGAATCACCAGTAGAACCAATGGAGTAAACCATCAACCATAAACCAAAAACCCAATGCACCTGGCTGGCTCTGCTGGACCAAACTGAGCTCCCCAGCTGTCACATGCAACACCTTTCGCAAGCCATCGGGTCCTATCAGCTGCATAGGAAACTGCTTGGAGGGGCCGCTTATGTGGACACTTCAGAAGCGAACCGGGGATGAAACACACATGAATTGTCTTTTCTGTGGTACCATTTTCAAAAAACAGAGGCATCAAAAAACTGGATGAACATTAGGCACGTTGTATCCCCTGTTGATTAATTAATGACATATATCCCATAAAAAGTTAATGAACAGTATAGATATCACATATTAATGGATGAAGCTGAAGAATTACCAGTTCATTGGGGTCCCCCACTCGCTCCCACTACTTCCCCCTCACTAACTTCACCGGCCTCTGGCGGCCTCGACTTGACTCAGCAGACGTCGAGTTTGCTCCACCCTGGCCATGGTGTGGCGTTCATTTTGTTTCCGCAGTTTCCGACCGAAACATCTGAAAACTCAGGACGTTTGACCAACAAGAAACATGGATCACATCAGATCTAAAGGAAACGGACATGTAAACTATAGTAAACTGCTACTTTTTCCTGATTGTGCTGTTTGAATTTTGGGGACCCCCGCATGGTTGTCTGTATGTATATATTAATAAGAATCAGGATATCACCTGCGAATGTAACGCGGTGAACTGGTTTGTTGACAATCACGTGCTTTCGTTTCGGCCTGGTATTTTTGAAGCCCGGGAAGTCAACTAAGATCAGTCAGTTCGCGTAGTCAATATGACGAACTTGAAGTTGATCACCCCTGTTTGTTGTTGTTACACATGTTTCAAAATAGTGATCTGAGATCGAATTTTCAACCCCAAGTGAGGCGCATACAATGAGAGGGTTGACATTAACACTAGCTCTGGTCCATGGAAATAGATTATTATTTACCTACAATGAATTTACATAGCTGTGTGAATAATTACGGTTGGGGGATGCACGTACATTCCTACATGCTCCATGTACGGAAAATTTACCAAATTTTATCCTGAAAATGACCCAAGTGTAGGGAAATACAACATATATTGAGTATATGGGATTTGTATCTCTACCACACAAATAAGTATGTATATAAGTGTAAATGGGTATGTTCAAGAATCGGGCACCCCAAATGATGTGGTTCTCCCTACTTCAAAGATCCCAAAACGCACAAACTGGGGCAGCGGCAACCTGGAAACCCAAAAGCACCTCGTTGACTATCATGTTCCCCTTTATCGATGGGGACCATAAATTAAATCCCCACATGTTTGTGAAATTCCCACTTTTTGGTTGGAAATCCGCGCTTTTGTTGGTTCATTCCATCACTTCTTGGTGAAGTCCCAGCCAATGATGTGACCCTCCAGCCATGAAAATTGCGGGGCTAAGTCCCACAATGAATGTATTCCAATTCCACGAGCTGGGCCAGCATTTCTGCTTGTTGATTCTAATCCCATGAAGAAAAACTATACAGATAGATAGATATCAAAAAATACCCCCTATCCGACCTATCCTTGACCAAGTTATAAATCCACTTAGCTATCCCAAGTGGGGCCCAAGAGCCAGCTACTTCGAGATTACATTGCCAAATCATATGAAGGTGGAAAGCAATATCCCATAAAATCACTGCGAATATCCCATTACATCCCCATAATATATCTGATATATCAGTCATATTCACCAAATAAACATATCCATGGACCCGAACACTTTCTTCTCGTAGGGTACATGTATATGTATATGTATATGTATATTCATATGTATATGTTTATACAGTATATCCACATCCTATATTCAACCATTATTATATTTACATATGCATGTATATGTATATAATTAATATCCCTATATATATACACATAAATATCCCTACTATATACATATGGAGACGGGTCAAAGCCTATTGTTACCATGGCAAGAACCATACACATACAGCAGCTATTTTAGGGTACCATCCGGGTACCATCCGGGTACCATCCGGGTACCACACTTTTGACCCATAATATTGAATATATATACCCTCTGATAAACGTTAACAAAAAGCTATTGAAAATGGCCATAGAAATAGTGGATTTTCCCATTAATAGCATGGTGATTTTCCATAGTTATGGTGATGTTTACCAGAGGGTGTATATATATATATAATTATATATATTATATTACATATTACATACATACGGAGCTTCTTAAAATGGAGGGAACCCCAAATCATCCAAGTCAGTAGACCAGTTTAGTATTGAAACTCATGGTTTTGGGGATCCCTCCATTTTAGGAACCCCCCATATGGGATTCATCCCCTGTATACACATTATATAATATCCGAATCCCTAATTATTCTTAATCCCCTCTTATCTGAATACCTCTAGTTTTGTGATAAGATCAATTCACGGAATTGTTAATCCCACCAACAATAATAATTATTATTATATGTGTGTGTTGATATTCATGGATCCAAAAACTCCCTTCTTGTAGGGTACAATGTATACATTTTATCCTCATCCCATTGAACCATTGTTTTCATGCATATACAGTATATATATATGCACATTAGTATCCCTATCATATACATATTGGGATGGGTCAATATAAATTAATATAAATTAATACCATATTTGGGGGGACTAACAATCCACTAATCATTATACATCACTATACCATATTATGCCATTAATCCTTATCCATACTAATACCATACATGTATCATTATCCTATGAACTATACCTTATCAATATTCATTTCATAGGGATATCCTATTCCTTATTTATCTGGTTGGTGGTTTCAACCTTTCTGAAAAGTATTAGTCAGTTGGGATGATTATTCCCAACAGATGGAAAAATCAAAGCCATGTTCCAAACCACCAACCAGTTTTATTATACTAATCCATTGTTTTATATATATATATATCCTATATCTATAAATGGATTAGTATATTTAATATCATTTAATGGAATGAGTATAAATATATAATTTCATAGCGATATATATATATATATATCCATTATACTCATTGCTTATCAATATCCATTATACTAATCATGGGATATCCATTATATCATTATAATACCATTATACTCATCCCAAAAAAAAATCCCTAGATAAACCAGCCGTAGCGACGCCACGGGATCGGCTTCGTTCGGATCGAAATCCAGGACCTGACAAAAAAACACGAGGATGTAGCTCCAAAATAAATGGGGCCGATGGGATATGATGGGATTACATTTGGGATGTACAATATATATATATATATATATGGGAGGTACATTTATTGATGGGCAAATTTATATTGATGGTACAATACGTTCGGATTTGTGTGGGATTTTGATGGGATTTTGATGGGATTTTGATGGGATGTTATTGGGATTTAAAGGCATTTGACTATATTTGACTGGGATTCTTATGGGTGTTAAAGGGATGGAATGTTTATGGGACACAATGGGATCTCAATGGGATTTGTCATTCATCTGATTGTCTGGGTATGTCTGGAAATAGGGGTATACTGGTATACCCTTGAAATAGCTATCTTCTTATGGGAAAATGATGATAAATCATGGGATGGGACGTGTCTTTATTCCTTTTTCGCTTTTAGCACAGCCATATGAATATAACATATTATAAAATCAAAATGACGGTTTCAGTTGGTTTTAGGTGTTAGTTTGAATGTTTTAGATCACATGCACAGTAAGCAGCTTACTCTGCTTCCCTGTTGCTTCATGATGCTGTAACCAGCAATGAATCTCCTGTTCATCTGATTGGTGACTGAACAAACCCAGAAGTGGAGCTTGCGGCAAGCCATGGCAAGCCCAAGTTTGCCCCAAAACAACTGCTGCAACAAAACAGAAAAATGGGCATAGTCAGTTCCCCCATCTCTGATATCTGGTACAGGCCAGATTAAGGAAACAACAAAAGGTAACTGGAACTCGCATCTTAGATTTCAGTTTTTTCGTCAACGGGTCAACCATTCAATTATCTGAACAACTTTACAAGTTAAATCCATGGTCAATATATACCCACGGAATCCCACGGATAGGTCAGTTTTTTGAGCCCCAAACATCTATGCTTTACTCCATATTATTTGGTGACATTTTTGAGCTGTTCACATCTGTTCACCATGTTCCCTGCACCAGACCCACCCTGCATACTGGCAATCATTTGCCATTGCCAATTTTAGATCCTCCGCAAAAACTGCTTCATTTATGACAAACAGATTCAAGTATACAGTATACTGGTTGGTGGTTGACCTACCCCTCTGAAAAATATATAAAAATATGAGTTCGTCAGTTGGGATGATGAAATTCCCAATAGATGGAAACATGAAAAACCAATGTTCCAAACCACCAATCAGTATTAAAGATGTTCAACGTAATTACTCAACCATCCCAGGTTTTCCACGGTTTTCCATGGTTTTCCCACTGCAGGAGCTATCTGTGCCCAAGTCACAGCTTTGGAAGCACTTGGAGTCCCCTTTTGCGCCATGGCGTCGCCGCTGGGCCGGTTGGGCGGTGGCGTTGCGGCGTTGCGGTGGCACCCGTATTGCATTCACAGCGTGGCGTTGCGTCGGTTGCAAGGTCACCCCAACTATCCCTGTCTCAGTGGGTTTCCTTCCCCCCAAACAAAACAACTGATGAAGAAACTAATGAACAAACTGATGAAGTACATTTACCAGTTATATAACATAGAAAATCATAGAAAACGACATTCGAAGTTGACAATCCTGGCTGAAACTTCGATGCTGAAACAAATCTCTCCTGGCCAGTGGAACTGCCAGATTCATCACCTCCAGGGGCTCCAGGGCAATGGCTGCCAAGAAAGACATGACATGACTGTGCTGCCCCCAGCGCGCCGCTAGGACTTATGATGGTTTCACCATGTTTCACCTGTGGATTTACCTAGAAGACATTAATGAAGAAATGAACATGAATAAAGTTTATTCATGTCACCTAAGTTACGCAAAGTTATGTTTATGGCTTTAGATCTCCATCGAACGGTAGTTATAATCACCGCTGGTTAATCTAGGCTAATATGGGAGCTCTAGGGCACCACCTTGTAGTTTTTGTGGTAGGTCACGATACCTGGGATGATGCATCATGATGCATCAAAAATCAAACATGGCAACGGAGAGTAGAGCCCATGTTGAATGGTACTGTAAGTTGTATATATATATATACACTGTATATACTGTACATTAAATATATATATATGTATATATAGGATCTTATATGTCCGATGGGAAATCATCGTTCCACAGCCTTTCGTAAGGGCCTTTTTCCGCGCAGGAAATTTTTCGTTCAGCTTCACTCCCCGGTGATGGAGTGATGAAGTCATCGATGCCAGGATCACGCCGGGTTCAAATGGGATAATCATTGGATTGGTGGGAAAATCTGTACCGGAAACCATAACCATATTTTTTTAATGTAATGTATATACCATCTGGTTATTTAATATAGCCATGGAAAATCACCATTTTTAATAGGTAAACCATCTATAAATGGGCCATTTTCCATGGCTATGTTAAATAACCAGAGGATATATATATATATATATGGGGGGATCCTATGATTTTCCCCTGAAAACAATCCAATGGGATCCAATGTGTGATCATGATTTTATCCACCGGTGGCCACATTGTGCCCCAGCTGAAGAATGACTTAGCTCTCATCGCTTGCAGGCTGCGTGAGGATCTATTCTCACTGGTTGCTTTTCTTTAGATTTAGATATATAATGAAATTCCCAATAGTCTTACTACCAACCGTTCAGTGTATTAGTGTCCTCCATGTACTACGTAAAGGTCTAGGTTGAGATGTTTGTCCTAAAACTAATTATTAATATTTAGTACATAAGTATAATATAATATAATAATATATATATATATGTATCTTATTTATGTATAATATCCATATCAGATATCTGCACTAGCCATGCATGAGTCAGCGCTCAGTTGGCCTTGCGGAACTTGCCTGGGAAAGCCGTGAATCCCCGGTGGTTGTGGATCTTCAGCATATCCCAAGGATGGATATGTATGGCTATTACTATTATTGTTGTCATTTATGATATGTATGGTTGATGTTGATGGTTATCATTTATAGATATTTAAAGTTTCTACTTTGAAACAAAGAGCTATGTAAAACATTACTTTAACAACTAGCTGCTAGCTATTTTGTGGATCAACATGGATATTCACCATGATTCTATGTGGCTTCTGTTCCTGAGAATTCACCCTAATTCACCCAGCAAAATATGGGATTTCCCCCCAGGAAATTGATTTCTTTCATGGGATATGACATAAGAACTGGAGCATGAATGGATATAATAAAAAATGGACCATAATGTACCTTTTTGTTTTTGTTGCTGATAGCTATATTCCAACTATCAACTACCGGAGGGAAGGCAACCCAACAAAAAACTGGACAACTCGAACGCCTTGTTTCTGTTCAAGGGAGTAGATTAGATATGATGAAAATGGATAAGAATGGATAAGATATCAATCACGAGATCATCCGATTAGATCATCCCCCGTGTTCAATTCTCAACACCGTTCACCCGTCGTTGATTAGTTCGTTCGTAGTTCACTCTCCCTTCATCTCTGTGTCCTTCGGCGTGAAATTGCAAGCCACATGAGACACGTGGCACTGTGCCCTAAGATTTAAACAAAAAAGCGTTTTCCTGTGCATAAATAATATACTGTAAACATATCATATCATCTGCAAATATATCTCTTCAATATCATTGACTTATGTTCACGAAGAATTTGGAGCATTAAATTAAACCATCATCTCAAAACACCAATGTCATAGAATTTTGGGTCGCTTCTACCACAAGTTGATTTGTAAACCAAGTTATTTATAGATATATCAACTATACACCATGATCAAGCTACAGTAGTCATACATCAACTTATAGCAAATATCAATCGCAATATACGCTATAAAGCATCACTATAAATCACTATAATAACTAAAAATCAACATAAATCACTATAAGTCACCAACATAAACGCTATAAATCACCATAAATCACTATAAATTTCTATAAATCACTATAATCATCACCAGCAAATGACCAGCAAATCAACCAGCAAATCACCAGCAATTTTCCTCTAGGGCAGGCCGCCTGTGCTCCAGTTGATCCAGCTGATCCAGTGCCAGCACTGGAATGGTCCACCAGACGAGTGATGGCGGCAATGGAAGGATAGTCGTAGATCAAAGTGACCTCGGCCACGAAGCGATGGGTGAAATCACTTCGTCAAAGGTGCTGGAAGAGGTGGATGATTGGTGATATGGTTATTGGTTACTGGGATCCAAGCTGATTCAGTAACTGCGGTGAAACAGGTTAGAAGATCAAAGGAACTGGTCATTTTTTGCCTGTTATTTTAGTTGATTCGTCCTCGATTCCAACAGCTTTTCCCATGGTAAAAACCCGGGGTTTAACTAACGACTGGCGTTCTACTTCTTGTTTGGCACGGCTGGATCCATAGGGACTAACTGTGACTAACCCCAGTGCATATATATATATATATATATATGACTATATATATATATTTATATTACTATAGTACTAATGTAATATTTATAGTACTAATATAACATTTACATATATATATATATATGTATATATTATATATATATGTATATATTATATATATATATGTATATATTATATATATATGACTATAGTACTAATGAACTATAATGTATATAATATTTATACTGTGGCAGTAACTTCATACTATCCATTTTTCGACCTTCCAGTAGACCTCCAGTTATGGGCTATCAACCACTTGCGATTCCGATGCACAGGGATCGGTTTAAAGTGTGGGTTTTTTCTGATCATCTGCAGATCACCAAGCCATCACATTCCATCACCAAGCAATGCCAACCAAGAAATAATACACACATGGCAGTGTGTCAAAACCTGGTACCCCTTCTGTGAACATCAAAATAGCTGGGATTTATGGATGTGAATAACCCACTAAAAATGGTATTTTTATAGGTATTGATCCATAGCCACATATACAAAGATAGGTCTGAAGATAAGATCACCTGAAATCCACTGATGAATCATATGTTTTGCTAATTATTGAAGTTGGTTGTGTTGTGCCATCTCCCATGTTTGGACACGTGTGTGAACCAAGCATACCAAGCCCCTAACCAGGCCGTGGCCATGACAGATCCATTGTTCTCCGATTTTTTCCATGTCTTTGGACACTGGGTTCGGCTCAAAGGTACAATGATAGTTTCACGAAATGGTAATGTCCATGGAATATTATATCATATTATCTACATGTATATATATATATTATATATATATATTATTTGTTTCAGTATTTTTCAGTTTTAACGGTTGAGATTTATGGCAATTCCTGAAATTCGTGTGATACTATCTCTTCTGTCGAATCTAAGCTGGCAGTGAGCAACGCAAGTGGTAGAGATGATGTCAGTATCAAACACGTAATGACGTAATGAAACCCATCCATTGCCTGGTTGTTATGTTTAGTTGCTATTGGTACCCAACATCCCAGTACCACTTCATACCCAAATCACTGAAGAATCCATCTTCCAGGTGGTGCACCTACGATTTCAATTTCAGGCAAAACCAAGCTCCCAAACTGGCAACGGCGGTGAGAGGCCTGGTAGGACCTTTGCCAGCTGGTCCTTGCCGAAACTGTTGGAATCACTACAGTTGGATCTGTAGGGGCCATATTTTGGGATAAAATCCCCCTAAAAAAGTCAGACATAGTCCAAATACATAGGCCTTGTCTATAGTAGGTACCTTCCAAAATTTGGGGGTTTCCTAAAAAATAGTCGTACCCCCAAAATGATCAATTTTAATAAACCATCCAGCTATTGGGGTACCACCATTTTAGGAAACCACTAGGTACCTGACATGGCCAAAACCATGACATCATGACATCCGTGATCCGCGGGGATCCGCGTCCCGCAGCACTACGGCGTGTTGACTTGTGAGGCCAAGCTCCATCAAAGGTCTCTCCTGCAGCTGGGAAAATCCTGGACCTTTTGGATCCCTTCATGTCTAATGTGTAGAGTGTAGAAGGATCATCCCCCTTGACCCAAAGAGTTAAATTTTATATGAGAATTCCCTGAAAAAACGTGTTTCTAAGACCGAGAAATGTATATATTGAGGGGGTGTACACCCCCCAATATACATTTTTTAGGGTGGGTAATGTAGAAGGTATACTGTCGGAAATCAAATAATAAATCCAATTTTAATAAACAGACTAGTTGGGGATGGTTTATAGCACCCATAAAAATGGTGATATTGGGGATGGTTTGTTATTGGGTTTACCACACTAATGTGTGCATATATAACTATAGCTGGATGGATGGGTAGGATAGGATAGGATTTCATTGGAGGTGAGGAGATTGAATTAGATTCTAGATAAGATCGCAGAAGATCAGGAAAAATCGATGGATGGATGGATGGATGGATGGCTGAACCCATTCCAAAAAAAAACGAAAGAAACCAGATCCCCAATCCCAGACAGTGACGCTTCGCTCCGGGTCGATGTTCTCGTCGTGCGCGATTAAGACTTGAACGAACTGCTGGATCACCCCTGATCGTCGGTGAAGCCCGGGCCCGTTGTTTCTCAATGGATTGGTTTTCTTGGGACATGCTGAAGCAGAAAGCCATGGGTTTTTTCCATGTTTTTGTAGAGGTTTCCTGTAAATTCCCATCATCCAAGGAATCCAAGATAATCCAAGGATTGGAGTGGTTTCAACCATCAGAATAGGCGGATTTCTCAAGGCATTCGACCTCCAAGGACTCCAATGAAAGTGGTATTAATCCCTATGATTTTTTTGTAAAAATCATCTCAATAGATGGTGATTAAATCTTATCATCATTTAGGATCATTTAGGATTTTTTCATCTGTAGGATATTGTAGGTATTATCATATGAATTTTCTGATCTTTTCATATAATGTGGTTAAAACACTAATAAACCATCTCCTAAATCACCATAAATGGGTGGTATGTTTACCATTCCAAAATGGCTAGTTTATGGCATTGTTTTACCCTCTGGTAATGACTAACATAACTATGGAAAGATCCACCATTTTTCATGTTTAAAACTCACTATTTCTATGGTGATTTTCAATAGCTTTTTGTATGTTTACCAGAGGGTAAATCCCATTAGATCCCATTAAACCACCATAAATCCCATTAAATCCCATTGAACCACCATAAATCCCATTAAATCCCATTAAATGGGTAGTTTATTATTGTTTTAACCACATTAAATCCTGACCAAAATCACCAGGTTCTTCCAGTTCTGTCTGACGGCCGAACCTCGCAGCACCTCTACATCCAGAGCCTGGCAGGTCCCAGCGGAGTCCACTGACTGTGTACGATTTATATTTCCACTATATATTACTATATGAACAAAATGGATGTTGTATGATACATCTAATTACTTGTGTATATATATAATATGTATATATATATATAATAATATAATATACATATATTATAATTATAATATATGTATATATATATATTGGGTAGTAGCATCGTTGACTTATATGTATACTTGAGCCATCTTCCATGGCCTGAAGATCCATCTTGGGCACCGTGGGCATCTCCGGAATCCGCGACCTACCGGGGGCAGGTCCAAGAAACATAGCCCCTGCTGGAAAAAACATAGGGAAAACATGAGAAAAATCTTTGAAGCATCTGGAAAATGATGATTCTGAAGTTCTAAATCTTTGAACCATCTGGAAAATGTTGGTTATTGAAAGTTTATCATCAAGGTCGTGGTCGTTCAAACTGGCACAGGCTCATCAACAATTCCTGTGCGAAAGCAGTGCCTAGTTCACCCTCTGTCACCCCAAACCTACTACCAGTAGTTGGTTGAGAGCGGAATTCCCAGCTCGTGGATGATATCAACCAGAGGGTACAAACCCCACTGCTAGCCATCACTCAATTGTGTATTCGATCACCATCTTTTTGCAGGCCTTACCCTTCCGCAATTTAACATAGCTAACATGGCCCATTTAGGTGGAACATGGTGATTTATGGTGATGGTCCGTAGATCAGTTTGCCAGATTTCAAATTCCATTCACCATCATACCATCATTTTTGATGCTAAATGTCCCAGTTTTGATGGCTCACCATATCCCCAGTTGCATCGAGATTAACTGACCCCGGCTGAACACACCCAACCTTCGCAGGTTCCTGTAGCGATCTGGTGATTCAAGCCAAAGGTTGATGGTGTATGGGTTAGTCCCAAAAATCACGGGGATTTTCTGGGGTTTTAGAGTGATTTCATCGGATATTGATGTGGGATCAATGTGGGGCCAATGGGATATACCGGTTATCATCCATTGCCACCTCTGATTTCCGGAGTGGTAAACGTGGGAAGTTCATGCATGTTTTGCTGTGGGAATGCGTCGCACTTACCCAAACATGCGCTGAAGTTTACCCTTCAAAAGCAACCAGTGACTCAGATTTCTGTGAATTTGCTGGTAAAGTCCTCTTTGTTGCTAGGCAAAGCGGCATTTTTTGTGGCCAACCCCCCATTTTTCCTAGGTATAAAACCCACCTCCAAATCCCCTGACCATGGTCCCAATTTTAAGGTACACCAAGATATCAGATTGTTGATTATAAATCCCACTAAATCTTATTATATATCATTAGATCCAATGAAATTCCATCAGATCCCATTAAATCCCATTAGTATCCCCATTCAAGTGGATATGAATATATAAGTAAAATTATACCATTAATATCCCATAGAAATCCATTAATATCCCATGAATGACCATAATAATATCCCATTAATATCCAATGAATATACCATTATATAAACCTAAATTTATATATCCCATTCATATTCCACTAAATCCCATCAAATATCCCATTAGCATCCCATTTAATGGGATATTAGTTAATTAATATCCCATTAAATCATATTAAATCACTATAAACTCCATTAAATCACTATAACATCCATGAAATCACTATAAAATCCCATCATATCCCATTTCAAGCTCCAACCTTTCGCGGCCCTCCGAGTCCCCCTACGGCGCTCGATCGGCTCGATCAGCTCGATCGGCTCGATCGGCTTCGCGCACCTGCGGCAAGCCATAGCCAGATCCATGGCTTATGTATGATATATGTGTAATATATAATAACAATATATATATATATATATATGTTTTCATTTTTTTCGGATGTTTCTGGTATGGACATGAAATAGACATATATATATATAATTATACGTATATACAATAGAGAGAGAGAGAGATCACAGAACCAAATATGGATATGGGCCTATGGAAATGACAGATCGAAGCACAGTTTCATTTGCATTTCTGGGATCCACAAAGCTATAAGGCTATACGAAAGAACAACAAAGAAGTTAGCTGTATTTATATTGATTCTTTTCCATGTCTTCCAAGGGCTCAAGGTTGAGCCATCCGTCCTAGTGCACCACATGGGGTTTCAAACCATAGGTCCTGGCTTGCCATGGCCAATTATAAATTATAGTGTGGTATTTTGGGGCGAAATGAACGGGATGAAAAGCGATGACATCAGCTGTCCCCGGTTAGAGGGCTGTGTCACATGCCTCCAAAAAATACACGATTCATGCCGCAAATGATGAATAGACAATTTTCAAACAGTTTCAAAAAGAAAGTGGAATCTCTGGGGTGCCCTATTTTCAATCAAAGCCATATTCCGCCTGGGATTTTTCTTTAATTGGGGTAGCCAATGTGGATTTTGAGGTCTAGTAACCCATAGATCCATAGTAACCTCCATTTGATATCGAAGTAACCCATAGTACAGTACCCCATTTTAAGATAGAAACCTAAAATCTGCCACTGTAGGACAGTAGGATTTATGTCTTTTCTATCTCTTGGGGGGATGCAACAAGTTTCCCCAAGTTTCGATCTCCAACGGCACCGGACCTCGATCTCTTGCAACATGGACTTGGCACTTTCTTCAATGGTCCTAGCGGCACAGAAGATTCCTTCAAAACTTGATCAAAATGCTGGAGATTCGAAGGATTTGTTGTCGATCTCCGAACAAATCTAACGACAAATGGATTCGAATGAGATGAAATTGCTGAGATTGCAGTACAAACTGCCCGACATGCTTCTCTCTCCCCATGTTTCCCATGCTATCACTGGTTTGAGTCATGTATATATATATATAGTGTATACATGTGTATACCCAGAGTTTCCAAATACCAGTGGTACCAGTGGTACTTCATCCCAGAACAAAAAAAAATGATTCTGTTGTGTACCAATGGCATTCTCTAAGTCATGCCAAGTATAGAAAAAGGCGTGCTCTCCCGTTGTTCACACCACGGATCACCGAGGACCTGCTTTGGACAGTGTTGGACACCAGAGACCATCGTAAGCAACCGGGGAAATCACCTCTCAAATTGCGGCAATATAGCATGACTGGGTACTGTAATATTAGTAATATATGTATATATATTTATATGATACGATACAATATAAAATATATAATACAATACAATACAATACAATACAATATAATGTAAGATACTACAGAATCATACTATAGTATACTATAGTATACTATAGTATTAGTATAAGAATATACGATATCAATATATATATATACATACATGTACTATAGCTATATACACAACAGTGATTTCTATCTTTTTGGGGCCAAACTTGCACGACGAGACTCCGCTCGGCTCCTGAAGCCCAGCTGGTGGCCCAACCACGCGGCCGACTCCGTCGCTTCTCGCGCTTCATGGAAGAACCTGAACCAGAAACAGCGAAGGATGGCATGGATGGAGACATCACTTTACTTAGTTCATACTTGCCAGTTTGATGTAGTTTGGATATATCTGTAATTACTAATTAGGAGTGATAGAATGTATATAATATACCGTGGTTCTATTTATATACATATATAATCATACATATATATATATATGTCTATTTCATTTGGCTCAAAGGCTTTAATCGAGCAAACGACACTATCTCTGGGGAACCCATCTGATATCATCTGATCAACCGATCATAAATCCAATGGATTCAAGCCCCAAGAAACGGCGTGATACAAACGTTGGGCGGATGGTAACATGACTGTCATTTTTCATCTTTCGACGTCCTTGATATCAATTCATATGTCAAAAATGTATAAAAATGTTGTCTCAAGCATCCAGCTTTGTCGTTTTTGCAGTCTCAGCATTGCTCAATCAGAAATCGCTTTGGTGAAGACACACATTTTGGGTACTGTAACTCAGCTGTCCGTGGAAAATCCAAACCATCGCAGTCGAATAGATGGAGCTGGTCGGACATAACATGACTCGTTTTCTCTTCCGGGGGTCCCTTTTCTACTGGTTTGGGAACTGCCATCAGTAGATGCCCCCTTGTGATAAATCTCACCGGCAGGTAGAAATTTCGCTATGCTTCCGCCACCTTCCGACCATCAAAGTCCTGGCCATCACCAGGTACATCTGCAAAACTCCAAGCAAATCAGAGGACCTCAGCCATGGAGTGTCCCCAAAACTTCCCAAATGTCAGCACCAAAACGTGGATTATGTGGATTGGATCCGCAGTCTAAATAGGGAAAAAACAAATAGCGAAGTTAAAACAATGTGAAACATGAGGCAACCGTAAATAAAACAATGAAAACATCGGCAGAAAAAAAAAAACTAGTCAACATCTCAAAATGACTCTATAGTTGTTTTTTTCCAACGTGATTTTGGAGGATTCATGTATTGCAATCCAGCCGATGTCAAACAATGCAGGGCCTATAAAACATGAGAGACTACGAAATAGAATGAAGTAAAATCAAACAAATGTTTAATTAGGTGAAGTGGATCCAACCGTGAAAAAACAACCCCACCAAAGCTAACACCATGCCCGCACCACAAAATGCGCAAGCATGCGCAAGCAAAAAGCGTATCGTTTGTTGTGAGTCCCCTATCGTTTTAGGAGGTTTCACGCAACAGCCAACATCCGATACGCACTCCATGAGGTTACGGCCCTAAAACTCTAACCACCCTTTTGGATCATTTTGGTATCACACCCCAAATGTATGATACATTGATCCCGCATGATATTCATCTATTATTCTCATTCAGCATTTTTCTGTGGCTTAAATACAGTGGATAGTTTTCATCTGCCATTGATCCACCAAGGGGCTCTTCATAGGCCGCCAGCCCCAGTTGAGCGGCCCTGGCATTGGCCAATCCAACAGTTCATCCAATGGAATCTGTTCGGCAGCGGAGATGTTACCAGCAAAAGTTGGCGATTGATCCACAATGGGCATAAATGTGAGTTTCAAGAGGCATAAAAAAGGGATGGAACCAGGAAATCTGGGAACTCAATCAGTCTTAATCAGCAGAAAGTACAGATTTCACAAACAACAACTGGATTGAAGCCGCTAGGACATGCTTTGGGGACTTAACATGACTTAATCAGATCATATATGGATAAATATGGTGGATTGATCAAAACTTTGTGTTGGGACCGAATGAAACAAGAACGACGAGTGGAGTTGTCCACCAAGAGCTGCAAAGTTGAGCAACTCTTTCGTAAGTATATGACAAACATGGAGTGCTCACTGCGCTTGCCAACAGAAATGCAAACATTGACATCATGTTTGTAATTTAAGAATCCTGAGCAACATGATGCGATCTGAAGGACATAGTCATTGAGTTTGTCTGAGAGTAGGGTACACCCAATTCCACTGGATTATCATCATTTTCACCATTGACCTAGCCATAAGATGCCATAAGTAGGGGTATACTAAAGTTTCAAACAAATGCCATTGGAGGCACCTAACTTATGCAGATTCTTTGCATACTCATCTGCTCTCTCGCCCTCTTAGCACCTCAACGCCTCCTCACAGTTGCCCTTATGCAGCTGTACCTGCACCACAAATCAATTTCTGGACGGCAAAACATATTAAACGAGGGGACTCCCAATCTTTGATGGAGACTTATCTTAAAGGGGTATGATTTTGTTAGTTTTTTTAATGGGGGTATTGTCCTTCCATCCTAACCATCGCCGGAAAAATGATGGATCGATTCCCGGAATCCCAATCATCCCGAGCCGCGAGTCGTGAGCAGCGACTGGGCAGCGACTGGCACCAGAAATGATCCACATGATATCCCCATTCTACCATGATCGACTGTTTTTTTCATGGCAAAGTCACCATTTTGGATGATTTGGATGGTTAAGTCACCATCTTTGTTGAGTGATGTTGAGTGAATCACCATTTTTCATGCGCAAGTCGCCATTCTTGCCATACCGCTGAGAGCCGGACGACAGCAGAGGCGTGGTAGCTACAAGCAGTACAGAGGGGCCTCCAGGTGATGGCCAGTGATGTTTGTTGGTTTAAAAACCCCTATGGCCCTATGAATAGCCTAGTTATGTCACCCCATAAACATCCATAAACCATAGTTCACCAAATTATAAGTCAACTTAGCTAGGGGCCTCACCTTGTAGGTTGAATGGAATTCCGGGAAGGGTCGAGGTTTGAGTTGAATTGATGAGTCCCAGAAATGTCCTGAAACCATTTTTGGGAAAGGCTCCAAATGCGAGTTTATGCATGAAACTGACTAGTGATGTTCCCGAATTTTGCTGTGAAAGCCAAGACAAGAGGGTCTTGACTGTTGACTCATGCCACAGTTTGGTGAGGATAAGAAAAATGACCAGCCATTCAAAACCATTTTTTTATGTTTGATGCTCTGCTTACCGTGATATTCAGGATTGCTCGTTATGTTAATATATTCATCTCGGATGTGTGGTTCATTGTGGTTCAATGCTGGTGAAAATGTACATCATTGGCTATGATTTCTCGTGCTGAAAAACCCAACTGATGCTGAAACATGTTCGAGAACCTCATTGATTCCCAATTTCATCTGTATAAGTGATGTTTCATGTCGAACTAAATCAGAAACCCTCAACATGTCCTCCTAGGTCCTAGACGTTGCTATTCGAGGCTCCCCGTTCGGAGGATGGTATCCCGATCCAACGAGCCGCTGAACTTGGGCGCCCCGACTCCACTGCTCCAACTCGTTCTGCCAACTGCCGGAGATCCTGGGCCAATCATATCTTGATTGGCTGATTGCCAAAGGAATCGTAACTGCTGTGTTGCCCACGGCAAAAACTGGCGGATATTTCATAGAGAAATGGGTGATATTGTGATTGTGACAATTGTTTACAAGGTCCATGTATACACGTGGAATCAATGTGATGATTACAATCCTTTACGAAGATTGCTCATCTTGGATGCCCTGTAAAAAAAATACAGGTTTCTCCGATAAACTAGCCATTCAAGGTGTCCCTAGTAAGCCATGTACAAACCATTGATCCAGCTGGGAACATATATGTATAATATACACGTAATTACGTATATGTATGATATATGATATATGTATGATATGTATGCATATGTAACTTATAACTGAGTTACATGAATATGGCTGTTGGGAAATGTTGGTAATATCACCCACTTGCGATGCCTGGGATGAAATCCAGCAGGGATCTAGGGTGAATTTAAGCGGCCAAAAAAGGATATATATATATATAAATAATTATGGATGAACAGCATGTATATATATATAATTATATATATTGATGCTAATTAGCTGATATATATATATATATAATTTATGGCTGTGAATTATGGATATGAACCATCAAAATGAACATGTTTTTAGCAGCTAATTAGCATAAAACGTGGGGTAGATCAGGGAAAGAAATTGAGACATGACCAACAAAAATTAGAATTTAGCCATCACACACAAACACATGGATTTTATATATCAAGTCTGTCTGGCCCATTAGCATTCTCATCCCAGGTAGGACGAAAAACGACATGAATCATGAAACGTAGGAAACCCAAATTGGCAAGCGGTTCTTCGACTACCTGTCATACTTTCTAACACATTAGGTTTGTTACTGAACACCCAGAATCGATGCAGGAAACCCCATGATGAAGCATCCCTTATGTTCTTTCAGTTTTGTTTGAAGATTCTAAAATTGGATAAAGTATAGGGGTATGGCCCAAAAATTAGGCCAGTTGTTTGGTCATTGATTTTTACGAAAGAAACCTAAAGTTCCCCTTCAGCTTGCCCCTCCACTGTCCACGGCTTTCCGGCTCCCGTCCTCCGCGTTCTTCTCCGCTTCCAAGAACTGCGATGCACCCGCGGGCAATGCACCCGCCTGGGAGACGCCGGGGGTCGAGGCGTCACTGGTGAAACTGGGTAAGGCTTAAGGTGAGTAGCTATTATGATATATATATATATGTATTTATAATATATACATATATGTGTATTCATAATATAATATAATATAATATAATACAATATACTGTAATATAATATAATATAATATACTATAATATAATATAATATAATATAATATATATAATATATATATATATATATATAATATCTATGTATATATTATGAATACATTTATATGTATAGCCAATATATCTACCCATCTGGTTGCGCTCATCAACTTGAATAAAAATTCACGAAGATCGACTCGGAGGATCTGCCAGGCACGACTGGAACCCGCCAGGGACCTTTTTAAACCTTGTAGATTTCCCAACCAACTCTGACCGTCAGTGGGTAAAGCCCCAAAATTATCCAAATTTCATAGCTAATCATAATTTTACATGTCTTTACCTGAATCTTTACCCATGAAACAAATGGGCATTTGGAATAGTTAGGGCGGTTCACCTCCTGCTCTGCAGCTTCCACAGGCGTTTCGCTGGGGGCTGCCTCCTCCCAAGTGAGGGATCGTCGATATAAGGGAAAAAGTCAAAGCAGCAAGGAAGAAAAACACTGGGAAACCCACAACAAAAAGGTGGCTGAATGTCCTAAAACTGTCGAGCTGGAGATTCGAAATCTTGACCCACGCTCAATATATGTCAAATTGTCCCTGACTCTGATTGTGATACACATTGATCATCATTGGTATAATTACCATGATATGCTGCTATACAAATACCTACCAGCACATTTGCATACAAATGATTCAAATGATACTGATGCTCAATTGATCTCTGGCTTGGTGCCACAGATCTAAGACCAGCTGGCTCCTCAAACTCCTTGCTGATCATCAAACTGGTGATCACAAAGAGGAGGAGACTCCTCCCCTGCTCCTGGCCCGATTTGAAAATTCGTTGGCCGATGACTCGATGACCCTCGATGACCCTCGATGACACCTATGAAAATTATAAGTACCCTCTGGTAAATTAACATAGCTATGGAAAATCATCATTTTTCATGGGTAAATCCACTATAACTGGCCATGTTCAATAGCTATGTTAGTTTACCAGAGGGTAGTCATCAAAGTCATAGTGGGAGATGGTACAGTAAGGAACAGCCATTAGATGATGGTAGTGATGGTATGGTAACCAGTAATACGTAACCGTTTTGATGGTGGTTTGTAAGCCTGTTGGGATTCCATCGAAACGTAC